GTATGGACAACATTCCCTGGACACAGTCTCTCATACCAGAAAAAAAGGGGCTGAGGCCCAAGCTCAAAACAGAGTAGGAAGCTCAGCTGTAGGCAGAAGAGTAGGGAGAAAAGAAATTCAGATGATTGCCAAAGCAAACAAATAAGCAAACCGAAAACACAGTTTTAAACATTTAATATGAACAGAACACTGCAGTTTGATAAAATGAAATCCGGAAATAAAATTACAGGCATACCTCAGAAATACTGCAAGTTTGGTTCCCGATCACCACAATAAAGCAAATATTATAGTAAAGCAAGTCACACAAATTTGTTGGTTTCCCAGTGCATATAAGAGTTATGTTTATACTATACATTAATCTATTAATCTGCAATAGCATTATGCCTTTAAAAAAAAAAACCTAAATTTAAAAGTACTTCATTACTAAAACATGCTAACAATTATCTGAACCTTCAGTAAGCTGTAATCTTTTTGCTGGTGGAGGGTCTTGCCTCCTTGTTGATGGCTGCTGACTAATCAGGTTGGTGGTTGCTGAAGGCTGGGGTGGCTGGGACAATTTCTTAAAGAAAGACAACAATGAAGTTTGATATATCAATTAACTGTTCCTTTCACAAAATACTTCTCTATTGAGTGCAATGGTGTTTGGTTGCATTTTACCCACAGTAGAACTTCTTTTAAAACTGGAGACAGTCCTCTCAAACCTTGCTGCTGTTTTATCAACTATGTTTATGGAATATGCTAAATTATTTGTTGCCATTTCAACAGTGTTCATAGCATCTTCACTTGGAGTAGATTCCACCTCAAGAAACCACTTTCTTTACTCACCCATAACAAATAGCTCCTCATCCATTCTAGCTTGATCATGACATTGCAGCAATTCAGTCACATCTTCAGGCTTCTCTTCTAGTGCTCTGGGTATTTCTACCACATCTGTGGTTAGTAGATTGGTGCAAAAGTAATTGTGTTTTTTGCCATTAAAAGTAACAGCAAAACCCACAATTACTTTTGCACTGACTAATACTTCCTCTGCTGAAGTCTGGACCCCTTCAAAGCCATCCTTGAGGGTTAAAATCAACTTCCTCCAAACTCCTGTTAATGTTAATATTTTGACCTCCTCCTATGAATCATGAATGTTCTTTTTTTTTTTTTTTTTTTTTTTAAGACAGAGTTTTACTCTTGTTACCCAGGCTACAGTGCAATGGCGCGATCTCAGCTCACCGCAACCTCCGCCTCCTGGGTTCAGGCAATTCTCCTGCCTCAGCCTCCTGAGTAGCTGGGATTACAGGCACGCGCCACCATGCCCAGCTAATATTTTGTTATTTTTAGTAGAGACGGGGTTTCACCAGGTTGACCAGGATGGTCTCGATCTTTTGACCTCGTGATCCACCCGCCTTGGCCTCCCAAAGTGCTGGGATTACAAGCGTGAGCACCGCGCCCGGCCTGAATGTTCTTAATGGCATCCAGAATGATGAATCCTTTCCAGGGGGTTTACTTTGCCCAGCATCATGAGAGGAATAATTTTCTATGGCAACCCATAATCTTACAAAATGTAGTTGTTAAATAATAAGTCATGAAAGCTGAAATTACTTCTTGATCCATGGGCTGCAGAATGGATGTTGTGTTGACATACATGAAAACAACATTCATCTCCTTGTACATCTCCATCAGAGCTTTTTGGTGACCAGAGGTATTATCAATGAGCATTAATATTTTGAAAGGAATCTTGTGAGCAGTAGGTCTCAACCATGAGCTTAAAAGGTAAACCATGGCTGTAAACAAATGTACTGTCATCTAGGCTCTGCTGTTCCATTTACAAAGTAGAGGCAGAGTAGATTAACATAATTCTTAAGTGCCCTAGGATTTATGGAATCCTATAAATGAGCACTGGCTCCAACTTAGAAGTTACCACCTGCACTAGTTCTTAACTAGAGAGTCATCCTGCTCTTTGAAGCTTTGAAATCAGATGCTGACTTGTCCTTTCTACCTAGGAAAGTCCTAGATGGAAATCTTCCAATAGAAGACTGTTTTGTCTACATTGAAAATGTGTTGTTTAAAGTAGCCTCCTTCATCACTGATCTTAGCTAGATCTTCCATATAACTGGCTGCAGCATCTATATCAGCACTTGCTGCTTTACCTTGCACTTATATGTGATAGAGATGGTTTCCTTTCTTCAAGCTCATGAAGCAATCTCAACTAGCTTGAAACTTTTGTTCTGCAGCTTCACCACCTCTCTCAGCCTTCAAAGAATTGAAGGGAGTTTGGGCCTTGCTCTAGATTATGCTTTAGACTTAGCAAATGTTGGGGCTGGTTTGATCTTCTATCCAGACCTCTAAAACTTTCTCCATAACATCAATAAGGCTGTTTTGCTTCTTTATCACTTGTGAGTTCACTGGAGTAGAACTTATAATTTCCTTTAAGAACTTCTCAGCCAGGTACAGTGGCTCATGCCTGTAATCCCAGCACTTTGGGAGGCTGAGGAGGAAGGATCACAAGGTCAAGAGATCAAGACCATCCTGGCCAACATGGTGAAACCCTGTCTCTACTAAAAAATACAAAAAATTAGCTGGGCATGGTGGCATGTGTCTATAGTCCCAGGTACTTGGGAGGCTGAGGCAAGAGAATCATTGAACCCGGGAGATGGAGGTTGCAGTGAGCCGAGATTGCACCATTGCACTCCAGCCTGGGTGAGAGAGCGAGACTCAGTCTAAAAAAAAAAAAAAAAAAAAAAAAAAAAAGTACTTCTCATATGCATTCACAACTTGGCTAAATGGCACAAAATGCCTAGCTTTTGGTCTGCCTCGGCTTTCAACATACCTTCCTCACTAAGCTTCATCATTTCTAGCTTTAAAGTGAGAGACCTATGATTGTCCCTTGCACTCAAACACTTAGAGACCACTGAAGGGTTTATTAATTGGGCTAATTTCAATATTGTTATGTCTCAGGGAATAAAGAGGGTTGAGGAGAGGAAAAGAGACAGGGGAATGGCTGGTCAGTGGAGTAGTCAGAACACATACAGCATTTATTGAGTTCCCCGTCTTATATGGGCACAGTTCATGGCACCCCAAAACAATTGCAGCAGTAACATTAAAGATCACTGGTCACAGATCACCATAACAAAATGATAACAATGATGAAAAAGTTAGAAATATTGAGATTGCTAAAATGTGACACAGATATGAAATGAGTACATGCTGTTGGAAAAATGGCACCAATTGACTTGCTGAATACAAGGTTGCCACAAACCTTCAATTTGTAAAAAAAAAAAAAAAAAAAGTGTGATAGAGCAAAGCACAATAACACAATAAAACAAGGTATGCCTGCACTTTCTTCTATGAACCCCTTAACATGTGACATAACAGCTCACTAAAGACTGATTTAATTCTTCAGAACTCACACGTGGAACTTAGACTTGGCTGAGTGAGGTGGCTCATGCCTGTAATCCCAGCACTTTGGGAGCCCAAGGCAGGCAGATCACAAGGTCAAGAGATTGAGATCAGCCTGGGCAACACAGTAAAACCCTGTCTCTTCTAAAATACAAAAAACTAGCTGGGAGTGGTGGGGCACCCCTGTAATCCCAGCTACCTGGGAAACTGAGGTGGGAAAATCGCTTGAACCCAGGAGGCAGAGGTTGCAGTGAGCCGAGATTACACCACTGCACTCCAGCCTGGGCAACAGAGTGAGACTCCATCTCCAAACAAAAAAAAAGGAACTTACATTCTAGGCCTTAGCTAAAGAAAACGGCCCAGCTTCAGGGAAGTCCACTTTTAATTTCTTATGGACGGAAGAGTTTTCTTTGGCCACTGTTTGTTTTACTTTGAAAGCTATAGTCACAAAGACATCTCTTTTTCCACCAGTTTTAAAATTGTCTTGTTCTAGGTTTCGCTTCACTGACAGAGACCTAGCCAAAGAGATCAACTTTTGAATATGATCATTCTTGACTTTCAGTTCTGTATTCTGTGCCCCTCTCCTCAAACTATGTCTCTCAGTCCTTCTCACTTGCTTCATTAAAATATTTGTATCTATTACACTATTTTTAAAAATAACACTTTTGATATGTTCCTCCCTCACAGAAAAAAATGTGGCTACCTCAAACACTTTACCAGGAATCACCTAGTTTTATTATAGGAGCTTAAATAAAATTGGTATTATGATGGCTTCTGTATGGAAAATGTGTCGTTTTTAGAGTACTGGCCACAGAAACTGACCTAGAAAGGGCTTGCTAAAGGAGAAGGGTGTGCCTGTGGAAAGTTCACGGCAGAGGATGTTTGACTCCTCTTAAAGTATGAAGAGAAAGACGAGCTAAAGTCTCAAGAAACTTCTGACTCAATAGGAGAAAACTATCAAATTTCCCAAAACTTGACCGATTTTGGTTATCACATCACAGAGGTGGTGAGCAGCTGCTGAGTGTGAAACCCACATCCCATTTCTGGGGAGAACTATGTAGTTGGTTCCTTCAACATAAAATATCAGAATCTGCATCCAGACAACCATAAGAAACCTCTCCCACCTCTCTCATACTAACCTTTTTTCTATTTTCAATTTACGACACACAGTCTTGTTTCCCACAAGTACTGTACAACCAGAGACACACACACACACACACATACATATGTATTTCAGATTTATATATATCTGTTTGGAGAGCAGGGAACAGGGGAGCCAAGGCCGGTTTGTACTTACAACCTCGCTTAGCTGTGCCGGGGTGACTGGAGTCTTGACCACAGAGGAGGAGCCCGCTGGCAGCACCAACCGGCTGAACTGTGCCCCTTTTCATAAAGGCCGAGGAACTGAGGTTAGCCACACTACAACCCTCCCACCTGAAGGAAAGCCCTGTTTGTTCCGGAAGGCACAGCCCAGCCTTATTTAACTAACTGGAAGCAGTTAATACAAGCATTCCCAAGGCAGCAAGCAAGCTCTAGTCTAGGACAGTAAAGCCATCGACTTTAGGAGGATTTCTCCAGAGTCCGGCATCCTGAAAGATGCAGCCCAGACTCCTCACCTGGCGGTTAACCTGAAAGCACCTGACCCTCTCTCCGGAATCCTCGCCTGTGGAAAACGATAAGGCTGCGGGGCCACGCCTCCTCCTTCAAAACTTTCCATGGGTCTCGGGATTCGGAGCGGGAAAAATCGTTCACAGCAGACTCATTCCGCCCTCGCCCGGACGCGTCCGCTGAAGTTGGAGCCCTTCTAAGCAGGTCCCCCTTCTCTTACCCTTCCTACGGGCCGTGCAGTGCGCGCAGACCCCGGCCCGAGGGCTGGCGCGGCGGTGGCGAGCTGCGGCGGCCGGTGCTCCAGCGGCTGAAAGACTGCTCTGTGCGCTCGGGGCAGGATGCTGCGCGTGGCCAGGCGCTCCCGCCCCGCCCCCAAGGCACCGCCCCGCCCCGCCCCGCCCCGCCGCCTCCCACCCAGAACCGGTGCTTTCCCACTTCGGGCCCTTACTCCACCCGTCACCTGACCAGCCTCCCCGCGCCCCTGGAGACTGGGGGCGGTGACGCGGAGGCGGGGTGGGGGCCGTAGGAAATGGAACCAAGCCGCGCGCGCGCGCGGGCTATAAGAGCCGAGGAAGTAAGCAGTCTCAAAAGGGGTTCGCGGTGGGGCACACCAAGGGGCGACCTGGGGCACTGAGCTGTGGTGCGGCCCCAGGACAGGCCCGAGGGGCAGTTCCACACCGGCAGGTACAGCACCTCCATGCCTCGAGGCATGACGCGGCCCGGGAGCTTCAAGATGACGCCGAGCGTGGGACGGCTGCACCTGTCTGGCCAGCCCGCAGCCCCCGCGCTCTCCTACCAAGGGCCCAGCGAGGCGGTGCGGCCCGCTTTGGGTTGGGGTGTCTGCCGGAGAAGCGCCTTACAGAGGGATTCCGACGGTGGGCGCTAAGACAAAGTGGCCCACACACCCTGCGCACCGGCCCCGGGCAGCGGCACCCGGAACTCGCGGCCCTCTGGGGGATCCTGTCTTTGTTTTGTTTTGTTTTGTTTTGGGGGGGGTTGTTTGCTTGTTTTGTTTTTTTAGACGGGGTCTCACTCTGTCGCCCAGGCTGGAGGGCAGAGCTGCGATCACGGATCAGTGCAAGCTTGAACTCCTGGACTCAAGCGATCCTCCTGCCTCAGCCTCCCAAAGTGCTAGGATTACAGGTGTAAGCCACTGCGCCTGGCCCTTTCTTTTCTTCACTCTTTCATGCATTCATTTCTTGTTTCTACGTGCATTCATTTTTCTGTTTCTTTGGTCATTCTTGTTTTGATGCTTAGGGAAACACTGAGCGCCAAGCTGACCGCTGGGTGCTGTGGTTGCTGGGATGAGAAAGACCTGGTCCTTTCCCTCCAGGACGTCACATTAAACTGACAAGTTCATTCGGACAAGTTTATTCATTCTGGCTTTTCTTTAAAGTGCACGATCACGAAAGTCTGTGACAGGGTCATATTTCTGAGATGTTAGAAAGTGCGGCGAGCGCTCGAAGAATAGGAGAAGCTAGTCTCCCTGAGCTCGCAACGGGAGCCGGGTGCGAGCGTCCGCATCTCCCGGTGGGTGCCCGGCCCCACCGCTGGACTCGCAACCCCAGCGCCCTGCCTTGGCCGCCGCTGCTCTTCCCTCTTGGTGCACGAAAGGAAGACGCCTGTGAGAAACCGAACAGACAATCGGTCTTGAATCTTAAAGATGAGAGTCGGTAGGGCATGACCAAAAGGGGTGTTGGGCTCCTAGTCCTCTCGGCTTGATAGTTCGGACGTGACCGACGTCCTTCTAGAGCTCGTACCCCTCCTCTTCACCGGGTAGCAGCAGCAAAGCCCGGAGTGCCAGGTTCTGTGAGTCAGCAAGCGTTTAAAAGATCTCTGGGTTTAGCTCAGGCAAAGGCTATTCTGCCAGATAATTATCTTAATATGCGTGTCCAGGAAGAAGTAGTTGGACAGACGATGTATATAAAAGCATACATGATTGACCCTCTTTTAAGTCACTTCCAAAGGATTATTAGGCAAAAATGCCTTGTTTTTGAGCCCTTTTCATCAGAGGTGCACATTCAGCTTGTGGATAGTCACTGCATTCCAGCCTGCACAACATAGTGAGACTGGAGACCCCAACCTTTTGGCACCAAGGACTTGTTCCATGGAAGACCATTTTTCCACAGACAGGGGATTTGGGGAGGATGTTTTTGGGATGAAACTGTTCCACCTCAGATCAGTATGCATTAGAGGGATTATAAAGGAGCACACATCCTGCAACCTAGATTCCTCCCATGCGCAGTTCACAGTAAGGCTCCTGCTCCTATGAGAATCTAACAGAACGTCTGCTCTCTTGCTCAGTGCTCACCTCCTGCAGTGCGGCTTGGTTCTTAGCAGGCCACAGACCTGTACCAGGTCTGTGGGGTTTGGGAACCCCTGCAGAGGGATAAATAGTTTCAAAAGGGAGATCTGGGGATCTCAAACTTTAATGTGTACATGAGTCACATTAAAGCAGACTGATTCAGTAGGACCTGAGGTTTTGCATTTCTAGCAAGAAGTTGCTGCTGCTGCTGCTGCTGGTGATGGTGGTGGTGGTGGTGGTGGTCCCACTCTGTAAGTAGCACAATTCTAAGAAATATTTAATCCGAGTGTGTGTGGGAATTTAGGGTGGAGAAGAAGGGAAAAGAGTGAGAGTGGAAAATTACTGGAGTCAGATGGCTGAAGGGTTTATTATAAATATAACGCATACTAAAGTTTTCAGCCATCTAATCATTCTTACTTAGCAAATTTAGTTCACAGTAGGCATTAAGTTTTTAGCTTTCAAAAAGTCACTTGTTTATGGTAATGATCGTGGCTTTTTCAGTGGGCAGTAATGGACATTGTTTTGTGCTGTGTTAATCCTTTCAAGCATCTGTGCTCTGTTCTGTATATCATAGCACAAAAAGCTTTGTGCCCTGATTCAAATTTGTAATGACCAATAACCAAATAACACAAGAATCTTTTGCTCGACAGTGTTTTATAATATGGCATTTTAAATTTACAACCTAAAGATCTTGAATTTCTCTAGCAATTTGTCTTCATGTGGAAGTTTCACTGATTTAGTGTTAAAAGAATTTTTTTTAAGTAGCCTAGAAAATGTGAGATAGGCTCACATCTGTAATCCCGGTACTTTGGGAGGCCAAGGAGGGTGGATTGCTGGAGCGAGGAGTGCCAGACTAGCCTGAGCAACATAGTGAAACCCTGTCTCTACCAAAAATACAAAAAGTAGCTGGACATGGTGGCCCATGCCTATGGTTCTAGCTGCTTGGGAGGCTGAGGTGGAAGGATTGCCTGAACCTGGGAGGTCGAGGTCTCAGTGAGCCAAGATTGCACCACTACATTCCAGCCTGGGCAACAGAGACCCAGTCTCAAAAAATAAATAAATAAATAAATAAATCAACAACAACAAAGGAAAGAAAAGAAAATGTGAAATAGGCTAACAGTAAAAATGCAACAATTTTCACAATTTTCTAGGATGCACAGGCAAAAACAATGTTTATTGTGAAGAATATGAGGAGAGAAAATAGAATAAAATGGGAGAAAAATGATGCCCTTTATTTACCTACTTTCACATCCTTTCCAAAATTTTTTGATGTGCAAGTAGTGTTCTGTATGTTGTGGATATTAATTCTTTGCCAGTTTTAAACATTGTAAGTATTTTCTTCCAGTTGTCATCTATCTCTTTTTCCATTGTGTTTTTTTCTTGGATGAAAGTCCTTAATTTTGATATATGACATCAATATTAAGTATAATCCTTATAGTTTGTGCTTTTATGATCTTTTTAAAGAATCTGTTCTCTACCCTTAATTCACCATTCTTCTGTATTTTCTGTAATAGTTTTATCCTTCATATCAAATTCCATTGTACTTTAACTTTGCACGTGGTGGGAGATATTAATGAACCTCAATTTTTTGACATCAAGTAAGCCAGTTTTCAGCAAGTTATCTTATAATTCAGGGTTGGCTTGTTTTTTTCTGCACAAAGTCAGATATAAATATGTAGGCTTTGTGCATTATACTGGCTCCTTTACAACTATTTAACTCTGTAGTGTAAAGATAATTGTACATAATATGTAAAGAAGAGAGTGGCTGTGTTCCATGTATTATGAAATATTTATTCTTACTTTCATATTTTTAAATAGGCTATTTTTAGGGCAGTTTTAGGTTTATTGCAAAATTGAGCAGAAAGTACAAAGTTCCTATATGTTCCCTGCTCCCACATATGCATCCCCCACATTGTTAACATCCTATGCCAGAGTAGTACATTTGTTATAATTGATGAATATACATTGACAAATCATCACCCAAAGTCCCTACTTTAGGGTTCACTCTTATGTGCAGGCTATAAGTTTTGACAAACGTATAATGACATGATCTACCACCATACTATCATACAGAATAGTTTGACTGCCTGCTGTGGACTAAATGTTTGCCCCTACTTTACCAATCCCCCCATCCTCACAAAAATGTATATGTTGCAACCTAAATTCCCAATGCGATGATATTTGGAAATGGGGCATTTGGGAGGTAATTAGGTCTTGAGAGTCAAGCTCTCATGAAGGCAATTAGTACCCTAGTGCCCATATAAGAAAAGATAGGAGAGAGATGATCTCTCTCTCTCTCTCCACCATGTGAGAATATAATGAGAAGATGGCTGTCTGCAAACTAGAAAGTGCACCCTCACCAGATGCCAGTTGTGCTATCACCTTGATCTTGGATTCTCTGGCCTCTAGAACTATGAGAAATCAATTTCTGTTGCTTAAGCCACCCGGTCTGTAGTATTCTGTAATAGCAGCCCAAACTGATGAAAATACTACTGTAATAATCCTCTGTGCTGCATCTATACATCCCTCCCCACAACCCTTGTCAACCACTCATTTTTTTAACTGTTACAAGTTTTTCCTTTTCAGATTGTCATATAGCTGGAATCATACAGTATGTAGCCTTTTCAGACTTGCTTTTTTCTCTTTTTTTGAGAAGGAGTCTCGATCTGTTGCCAGGCTGGAGTGTTGGCAGGATCTCAGCTCACTGTAACCTCCACTTCCCAGGTTCAAGCGATTCTCCTGCCTCAGCCTCCCAAGTAGCTGGGGGTACAGGTGTGTGCTACCACACCCAACTATTTTTTGTATTTTTAGTAGAGACGGGGTTTCACCATGTTGGACAGGATGATCTTGATCTCTTGACCTTGTGATCCACCCACTTCAGCTTCCCAAAGTGCTGGGATTACAAGTGTGAGCCACCATGCTAGTCCTGGCTTTTTTCATTTAGTAATATGCATTTAAGCTTCCTCTTTGTCTTCACATGACTTGATAGCTCAATTATTTTTAGCACTGAATAATGTTCCATTGAATGGATATATCACAGTGTATTTATTCATTCATCTACTGAAGGACATTTTTGGTTTTTTTCCAAGTTTTAATTCCTTATAAATAAAGCAATTATAAATAAAGCTGTTATCAATATCTGTATGCAGGTTTTTGTGTAGATAAGTTTTCAATTCCTTTTTTTTTTAATACCAAGGAATACAATTGCTGGATTGTATGGGAAGAGTATAGCTTTGTAAAAAACTGCCGATCTTCCAAAGTGACTGTATTATTTTACATTTGTACCAGCAATGAATGAGCGTTCCTCTTGCTCCACATGCTTGCCAGTATTTGGAATTATCAGTATTACAGGTTTTGACCATTCTAATAGGTGTGTAGTGCTATCTTGTTGCTTTAATTTGCAATTCCCTAATAACATATGATGCTGAGTGTGTTTCATATACTTATTTTTCATCTGTATGTCTTCTATACTGTGGTATCTCATCAGGTCTTTTTCTTATTTTTTAAAGGGGTTGTCTATTTTCTTATTGTTGAGTTTTAAGAGTTCTTTAGGCTGGGCATGGTGGCTCATGCCAGTAATCTCAACACTTTGGGAGGCAGAGGTGGGAGGATCACTTGAGGCCAGTAGTTCAACAGCAGCCTGGGAAACAAAGACAGATCCTCTCTCCATGAAAGAAAAAAAAATTTTTAATTAGCTGGGTTTGGTGGTATGCACCTGTGGTCCTAGCTACTCAGTAGGTTGAGCCGGGAGGATTGCTTGAACCCAGGATTGCTTGAACCCTATTGCAGTCCAGCCTGGGCAATAGAGCAAAACCTCATCTCAAAAACAAAAATATATGAGTTCTTTATATATTTTGAATAACAATACTTTTGCAGATATGTCTTTTGCAAGTATTTTTCTCCCAGTCTGCAGCTTGTCTTCTTTTTCTCTTGATATCTTTTACAGAGCGGAAGTTTTTAATTATAATAAAGACCAGTGTATCAATTATTTATTTCATGGATCGTGCTTTCAGTGGTCAGATTCCAGGAAAAAAATGGCAGCTAGGAGGCATGACTTACAGCTCCCACTGAGATGAACAGAACAGTATGTGGAGGCATTATGAGCTTTTGCTTCAAGAACTACCACAGGAATGTACCAAGAACACTGAAAAAATTCACAGACCCTTTGAAAATGTGACTTGTGGCTACAAACTCTAAGACAGTTGAAAAATGGTGAGTGTGAAGGGGTAAAGTCTACCACCCAACACACATCCTCACTGAGGAACCTGAAAATCCAGATCACAGGAGAGGGATTTCACCTAACCTAGAGCTGAAATGAATTTAGAGAGCTGAGCAAAATGTCAAAGTAGATGCAGCAGCAGAAAGAGCCCTGTAGGTACTCCCAGTCACCAGGGAAGCCATTTCTGACTTTATCTCACTAGGGTCCTTCAAGAGGGCTGCCAATGGAATTGGGGAAGGACCACACAGAGAAGGAAATTTACAGATGAGCTTTGTAATAATTTTGACCAAGTGTGAATTTTCCTGTGCAGAATTCAGGGGAGGGAAATGAATGGAAAGTGCAGATAGGGCACAGAAGCAGTGGCAGGCTGGGAGGGGTGGGGCCTAAAAGCCCTGCTGGCTTTCCCAGCGGGGAGGCTTGTAGCCTGGGGGGGATCTTGGCCCTGATCACTGGCTGCCAGGATAAAAACTTTGTGTTGTCGGGGGGTGGGGAGGCACAAAGGGAGTGAGACTGGGCTTGCTGGCTGCAGAAGAGTTGAGTGAGGCCTGTCACTGCAGCCTTTCCCACATTTCCCTGGTGACCTACATGATGCATCAGAGGCAGCCATAATCCCCCTGGGAACATAACTCCATTGTCCTGAGAACCACATCTCCATCCCCCACAGCTGCTGCAGCAAGCCCCACCTAAGGAGTCTAAGCTTGGACATCCCTAACCCTCCTCCCACCTGATCATCTTTATCTACCTGGCCTGATAGCCAAAGACAAAAGACTTAATCTCTTGGGGGCTCTATGGCCCCATGCATCACCTGAGAAAACAAAATACTTTTGCAGGCGACCTTAGGGCAAGCGTGCATCCCCACTATACTACCATAGCTGATGCGCTCTTGAAAGCATCACCTCCTGGCTGGAGCCCAGCCAACTCGGGCCATTACAGAAACTTATAAAAGAAAAACCCTGCTACAAGAAAGGAGAAAACAACAGCTAATTCCACTGCCTGTAACATCCTGGCAAACCAGAGGTCCTGAGTCTGTCCATGTGACAGTTGCACTGCTAGCATAACCAGCATTTGAGAAAGCCTGTGCATGAAATAAAACTACAACCAAGGACCCTCAAAGAGTCCACTTCACTCCTATGCTACCTCCACTGGAACAGGTGTTGGTATCCATGGCTGAGAGACTTGAAGACAGATCACATCACAGGACTCTTTGGAAACCCTCCCCAGTACCAGCCCAAGCTCCATTAGGTGACTAGACCCATGACCGCAATGACAATCACTATCCAGCTCTCAGGAGGCCCCATCCCTAGAGGAAGGGGGAGAGCACCACATCAAGGTCCACACCATAGGACAAAATAATCTGAACAGCAGCCCTTGAGTCCCAAATCTTTCTTCTGACATAGTCTACCCAAATGAGAAGGAACCAGAAAAACAATTCTGGTAATACAACAACCCAAGTTCTTCAATACTCTCAAAAGATCACACTAGCTCACCAGCAATGGATCCAAACCAAGAAGAAATCTCTGAATGGCCAGAGAAAGAATTCGGAAGGTCAGTTTTTAACCTATTCAAGGAGGCACCAGAAAAAGTGAAAACCAACTTAAAGAAATTTTAAAAATCATACAGGATATGGACAAAAAAAAAAAAAAAACTGCAGAGAAGTAACACAAATAAAAAACAATCACAACTTCTGGAAATGAAAGACAGACTTAGAGAAATGCAAGATACACTGATAAGTTTCAACAATAGAATTGAACACCTAGAAGAAAGAACTTCAGAGCTCAAAAACAATGCTTTCAAATTAACCCAATTAACCCAAGACAAAGAAAAAAGAATTAAAAAATGAACAAAGCTTCCAAGAAGTTTGGGTTTATGTTAAACAACCAAGCCTAAGAATAATTGGTCTTCCTGAGAAAGAAGAGAAATGTAAAAGTTTGGAAAACTTATTTGAGGCAATAATTAACGAAATTTTCCTGGCCTTGCTAAAGATCTAGACATCCAGATGCTCAAAGGACACCCAGGAAATTTATCACAAAAGGATCATCAACTAGGCACATAGTCATCAGGTTATTTAAAGTCAGGATGAAAGAATCTTCAATTATTCTTAGGTTTGGTTGTTTAACATAATCTACATAATTGGAAGTAAATCACTCCTCAGCAAATGCAAAAGAACAGAAATCATAACAAACAGTCTCTCAGACCACAGTGCGATCAAATTAGAACTCAGAATTAAGAAACTAACTCAGAACCGCAAAACTTCATGGAAACTGAACAACTGGCTCCTGAATGTCGACTGGATAAACAACGAAATGAAGGCAGAAATAAAGATGTTCTGTGAAACCAACGAGAATGAAGGCACAATGTACCAGAATCTCTGGGACACATTTAAAGCAGTGGCTAGAAGGAAACTTATAGCAATAAATGCCCACCAGAGAAGTGAGGAAAGATCTAAAATCAACACCCTATGGTCAAAATTGAAAGAGCTAGAGAAGCAAGATAAAAAAAACTCAAAAGCTAGTAGAAGACAAGAAATAACTAAGATCAGAGCAGAAATGAAGGAGATAGAGACACAAAAAAAACACTTCAAAAAATTAATAAATCCAGGAGCTGGTTTTTTGAAAAGATCAACAAAATAGACAGACTGCTAGCTAGATTAATAAAAATGAAAAGGGAGAAGAATCAAATAGATGCAATAAAAAACAATAAAGGGGATATCACCACTGACTCCACAGAAATACAAACTACAATCAGAGATTATTACAAACAACTCTATGCACATAAACCAGTAAACCTGGAAGAAATGGATAAATTCCTGGACGCTTGCACCTTCCCAAGCCTAAACCAGGAAGAAGTTGAAACCTTGAACAGACCAATAACAAGGGCTGAAGTTGAGGCAGCAATTAATAGCCTACCAACCAAAAAAAGCCCAGGTCCAGACGGGCTCACAGGTGAATTCTACCAGATGTAAAAGAGGAGCTGGTCCCATTCCTTCTGAAACTATTCCAAACAATACAAAAAGAGGGAATCCTTCCCAAATCATTTTATGAGACCAACATCATCCTGATACCAAAACCTGGCAGAGACTCAACAAAAAAAGAAAACTTCAGGCCAATAACCATGATGAACATAGATGCAAAAATCTTCAATAAAATCCTGGCAAACCAATTGCAACAGCATATCAAAAAGATTATCCATCACGATCAAGTAGGCTTCAACCCAGGGATTGTGGCTGGTTCAACATACGCAAATCTATCAACATAATCCACCACATAAACAGAATGAAAGACAAAAACCACATGATTGTCTCAATAGATGCAGAGAAGTCCTTCGACAAAATTCAACAGCCCTTTATGCTAAAAACTCTCAATAAACTAGGTATCGAAGGAATGTATCTTAAAATAATAAAAGCTATTTATGACAAACCCACAGCCAGTATCATACTGAATGTGCAAAAAACTGGACTCATTCCCTTTGAAATCTGGCACTCGACAAGGATGCCCTCTGTCACCACTCCTATTTGATATAGTATTGGAAGTTCTAGCCAGAGCAATTAGGCAAGAATAAAAAATAAAGGATATTCAATTAGGAAAAGAGGAGGTCAAATTGTCCCTAATTGCAGATGACATGATTGTATATTTAGAAGACCCTATTGTATCAGCCCAAAATCTCCTTAAACTGATAAGCAACTTCAGCAAAGTCTCAGGATACAAAATCAATGTGCAGAAATCACAGGCATTTCTATGTACCAATAACAGACTAACAGAGAGCCAAATCACTAGCGAACTCCCATTCACAGTTGCTACAAAGAGAATAAAATGCCTAGGAATACAACTAACAAAGAATGTAAAAGACTTCTTTAAGGAGAACTACAAACCACTGCTCAAGGAAGTAAGAGAGGAAACAAACAAATGGAGAAACATTCCAAGCTCATGCTTAGGAAGAATCAATATCGTGAAAATGGCCATACTGCCCAAAGTAATTTATAGATTCAATGCATGGTTTTCTGAATTCCTTTTGTAGTTGATTTCCAATTTTATTCCAATGTGGTCTGAGAGAGTACTTGATATAATTTCAGTTTTCTTAAATTTATTGAGACTTTTTAGTTGTCTATCATATGATCTTGGGGAATGTTCCATGTGCTGATGAAAATGTATATTCTGCAATTGTTGCATAGTTGTGACGATTTTCTCTCACTCTGTGGGTTGTCTGTTTACTCTGCTGATTGTTTCTTTCACTGAGCAGAACCATAAAAATTCTAGATGATAACTTTGGAAAAATGCTTCTAGACATTGGCTTAGGCAAAGACTTCCTGACCAAGAACCCAAAAACAAATGCAACAAAAACAAAGATAAATAGATGGGACTTAATTAAACTAAGAAGCTTCTGCACTCTCAGGCTGGAGTGCATAGCATGATCTCAGCTCACTGCAACCTCTGCCTCCCAGATTCAAGTTATTCTTCCACCTCAGCCTCCCAAGTAGCTGGGATTACAGGCGCATGCCACCACTTCCGGCTAATTTTTTTTTTTTTTTTTTTTTTTTTATTTTTAGTAGGGACTGGGTTTTGCCATTTTGACCAGGCTGATCTTGAACTCCTGACCTCAACTGATCCACTCACCTCAGCCTCCCAGAGTGCTGGGTTACAGGTGTGAGCCACCGCACTCAGTCCAAATTCCTTAAACAACTAAAAATAGATCTACCATTTGACTCAGCAATCCCATTACTGGGTAATGGGTAATGGGACCAGAGGAAAAGAAGTCATTATACAAAAAAGGCACTTGCACATGAATGTTTATAGCAGAACAATTCACAACTGCAAAAATATGAAATCAACTCAAATGTCCATCAATCGAGTGGATTTAAAAAAAGTGATATCTGCTGAGCTAATTTTTTGTATTTTTAGTAGAGATGGGGTTTCACTGTATTAGCGAGGATGGTCTCCATCTCCTGACCTCGTGATTTGCCCACCTCGGCCTCCCAAAGTGCTGGGATTACAGGCATGAGCAACCACGCCCAGCCAATTACTGTAGTTTTAGAGTAAGTCTTCACATTAGGCAGTTCCTTTTTTTAAAATTTTTTGTTCTTTTCTTTCAATATTGTCTATTCTGGGTATTTTGTCTCTCCATATAAACTGTAAAATCAATTGTTTGATATCCTCAAAAGAACTCCCTTGGATCTTAATTGGGGTTGTGTTGATCTATAGATCAAGTTGGGAAGAATTGACATCTTGACAATATTGAGCCTGCTTTTTCAAAAGGCTCAACATTGTCAAGATGTCAATTCTTCCCAACTTGAAATATCCCTCTACTTATTTAGTTCTTTGATTTCTTTCATCAGAGTTTTACAGTTTTTTAAAAATATAGAACTTCTACATAATGTTAGAGTTATAGCCAAGTATTTCATTTTTGGGGATACTTCTATAAATGGCATTGTGTTTTTAATTTCAAATTCTAATTGTTCATTGCCGATCTACAAGAAAGTGATTGATTTTGTATATTAACCTTGTATCCTACAATCTTGTTATAATTATTTATTAGTTCATTTTTTTTTTAATTCTCTCAGATTTCCTATGTAGACAATCATGTCATCTCAAAGAGTTTTATTTCTTCTGTCCCAATCTGAATACCTTTTATTTCCTTTTCATATTTTATTGCATTAGCTAGAACTTTGAGTGTGATGTTGAAAAGGAGTGTTAAGAGTGGACATGTTGGGCTGGGCGCGGTGGCTCATGCCCGTAATCCCAGCTCTTTGGGAGGCCGAGGCGGGTGGATCACGAGGTCAAGAAATCGAGACCATCCTGGTCAACAAGGTCAAACCCCATCTCTACTAAAAATACAAAAATTAGCTGGGCATGGTGGCGCGCTCCCGTAGTCCCAGCTACTCGGGAGGCTGAGGTAGGAGAATTGCTTGAACTCAGGAGGCGGAGGTTGCGGTGAGCCGAGATTGCGCCATTGCACGTCTCAAAGAAAAAAAAAAGTGGACATGTTGAAAAGGAGGCATTCTTGCCTTGACCCTGATATTTGCATGAAAACGTCTTACGTTTCTCACCATTAAGTACGATGTTAATTCTAGTTTGTTTTTGTTTTGTAGATGTTCTTCATCAAGTTGAAGATGCTCCACCCCCCTTTTTTTTGGTTTGCTGAAGGCTTTTTCATGAATGGATGTTGGATTTTTAAAAAATGCTTTTTGTGTATTTATTGATATGACCACGTGATATATTTTCTTCAGCCTGTTGATGTAATGGAGTACATTAATTGAGCTTTGAATGTTGAATCAGCCTTGCTGCCTAGAATAAATCCCACTTGCTTGTAGTATACAGTTTTTCTCAAACGTTGTTGAATTTGATTTGCTAATATTTTTGCTGAGATTTTTTGTTCATAAGAGATGTTGGCCTTTAGTTTTCTTTTTTTATAATCTCTCCCTGGTTTTGATACTAAGTTAATGCTGGTCTCACAGAATGAGTTAGGATGTATTCCAATTCTGTCTTCTGGAAAAAATTATACAGAATTGGTATAATTTGTTCCTTAAATGTCTAGTAGACTTCACCAGTGAAAACATCTGAGCCTAGTGCTGTTTGGGAAGGTTATTCGTTATTGATTCCATTTATTTACTAGATTATTATGTTTGTTTCTTCTTGTGTGAGTTTTGGCAACTGGCAATTGTGTCTTTGAAGGCATTGGTCCCTATCACCCAGGTTTTCAAATTTGCGGGCATAGATTCGCTCCTGTTATATTATTATCCATTTAATGCCCATAAAATAGGTAGTGATACTCCCTCTTTCTAGTATTAGTAATTTGTGTCTTCCCTCTTTTTTCTTAGCTTGGCTATAGGCTTACTGATTTTATCTATCTTTTCAAAGAACCAGCTTTTGGTTTTGTTGATTTTGTTCACTAATTTCCTGTTTTCAGTTCCATTAATTTCTGCTATAATTTTCTTTTCTGCTTCCTTTGGTTTTAACTTGCTCTTCTTTGTCTGTTTTCTAGGGTAGAAGCGTAGAAGATTGATTTTTAGATCTTTCTTTTCTAATTATTACATTCAATGCTATAAATTTTCCTCTAGGCATTGCTTTTACTGTTTCCCACAATTCTTGATAATTTTTATTTATTTCAAAATAATTTTTAACTTTCTTAAGATTTCTTTCTTTCTCTTTTTCAGACAAGGTCTCACTCTCTTGCCCAGGCTGGAATGCAGTGGCACAATCATGGTTTACTGCAGCCTTGACTTCCTGGGCTCCTGCCTCAGCCTCCAGATATTTCTTCTTTGACCCATGTGTTATGTATATCCTATCAGACTTTCTATATAGATTATAATATCTGCAAATAATGAGTTTTGCCTTTTTTGTTCTAATCCATACACCTATTTTTATGTATTAATTTGAAAATAGTGTGGTGGGATAAAAAACATTAAAACTCAATGCATATTAAATAATTTAAAACTTTATTAAGTGAAAAGAGAAAATGGGATCTGAATTGTTTAAAAAATGTAGCATCAGCAAAATCAATGTCTGAACAAAAGTGATTTTTACAGATACAAATACTAAAATATCCAAGTTGATATCTATAAACCCATTTTCTTGGGGTTTCTCTCTTGACTATTGTAGTTTCTCTCGAGTGACAGAAGGTCATTCTGAATCCTGAGACTTATAAACAACTATTTATTTGTAGCCCCAACAAAGGGATTTATCTTCCTGATTCAGCTCTGAGCCCCACAGCCACCACAAACCACTTGTATCAGAATCACTTTGTGTGCTGGCTAAAAATAGCAGATTCCTGGCCTCCTACTAGGACATGATGAATAAGAATATATGGTTAGGCTTTGATAAAGTAGTCTAAAGAGAGAGAGAGAGAATCTCTGCTGGTATTAACTGTACATTCATGACTTTAACAAGATCCCCCAGTGGGCCAGGCACAGTGGCTCACACCTGTAATCCCAGCACTTTGGGAGGCTGATGCAGGCAGATCACTTGAGGACAGGAGTTCAAGACCAGCCTGGCCAATCTAGCGAAACTCTGTCTCTACTAAAAATACAAAAAGATTAGCTAGGCATGGTGGTGTGCGCTTGTAGTTCCAGCTACTCAGGAGCCTGAGGCACAAGAATCACTTGAACCTGGGAAGTGAAGGTTGCAGTGAAATAAGATCACTCCACCAAACTCCAGCCTTTATCCTGGGCAACAGAGCAAGGCTATCACAAAAAAAAGAAAAAAAGAAAGAAAAAGAAGCAAAAAAAATCCCCTTGGCTTACAACCCTGAAAATCATTATGGCAGGAGGAGAGGACAGGAAATCTGACTTCCAGAAAAAGAGGGATCATCAACAAATATCTAGCCCTGATTTCCTGGGCTAAGGAGACTAGAAGCCTGGAAGAAAAAATGACTTCCATTCTCTGTTCTTTCTTACAACTACCTTGGCATTCTCTGTGATACATATATACATGTAAGGAGAACTCTAAAATGACTGGCCCATAATTATCTGCCTACCCAGATCAAGCCATTGTACTGGTTTGAGGACAGTTCAAAAAAGTCAGTCAGTGCTATTTCTTTCAGTAGACAGTAGATGTCTCATGGACATCATTACCAAAAGTTAAGCCTTGGGATTTATCAGGGACTCCTGCTACAATAAGAGAGCCTGGGAATCAGGAGAGAGATGTGAAGGCACCAAGTCATTGGCTGTGATTCCACAAAAGAAACAATGATTTCAGAGCAAAGCAAACTCCAGGCCCAATGCTGGGTCAGTGGTTTCATGTTTCCATTAAAGTGTTGTTAGTCTAAAAATCTCACAAGGTGTAAAGAAAAGGATTTATCAGATAATAAACATGATTTCAAAATGTACATACAATTATAGTAACTTCTAAAAATGATGGCATTACAAATATTAGAACTGCCCCCGAAATAGTCACTTATTTAGATTTTTTTTTATTGTTTTAAAGCCTCTGGTTCTATATAAGTAGCTTATACCTGTTATAAAACCTCCCATTTCAACATCTGGAGTCATTATTATGACTGTTATTATGATTAAATAATAAAATCTCAGTAAAACAAAATCACAAATTTAAAAATCAGGTTTTTTTTTTAAAAAGTTTGAGAAAATCTTTACTGCACATCATCTAATTAATTTCTATGTGTATAAATAATATACACAATATTCATGTGTTGCAAAACCCTGCAATTCTCAATCAGCAGTCTACAAGGAGTAGAGGCTATTTTTATGTCTTTTTACAGCACACATTTCTCTTACTTTAAAATTTTAAGCATAATTGTTTTCATGTGCATAAATATGTGTATATATTTGAGACAGAGTCTCGCTCTGTCACTCAGGCTGGAGTGCAGTGGCATGATCACAGCTCACTGCAGTCGACTTCCTGGACTCAAGTGATCCTCCTGCCTTAGCCTCCCAAGTAGCTAGGACTACAGGCATGTGGCACCGCATCCAGCTATTTTTTTCCTATTTTTGTAGGGATGGATCTCACTATGTTGCCTAGGTTGGTCTCGAACTGGGCTCCAGCTATTCTCCTGCCTTGGCCTTCCAAAGTGCAGGGATTACAGGCATGAGAAACTGCCTAGTCCTGATTTTAATGTGAGCTATAGAAACTTGCCCCATAAAACCACCGCCTCTCACCCCAAAATACCTCACTGTGAGACTTAATGTGCTTATGAAAGGTAGAGTATATCACAAATTTTAACAGGCTGCTCAAGTAGTAAATAATCACTTCTGGATCAAAAATGCATTTGCTATGTGATTTAATTTTCATGCCTGTATCTCTTTTTACTTTTCTACTTTAATACTGAAGGAGGATAGAAAACTTGTAAATGAGTATTTAAAAACCTAATCCTCTTAAGAACAAAAAGCAGAATCAAATAACAGTTGTTTTTCATAACCAAATACAGTTATATGCTGATTAATGATGTTTTAGTCAATGCTGTACTGTATATACAATGGTGGTCTCAGAAGATTATAAAACCATATTTTTGCTGTACCTTTTCTATGTTTAGATACTTACCATTGTGTTACAATTGTCTACTGTATTCAATACAGTAAAATATGGTACAGATTTGTACCCTAGGACCAACAGGCTATAGCCTAGGTGTGTAAGTAAGCTATTCCATCTAGGTCTGTGGAACTATATGCTATGATGTTTAATGACAAAATCACCTAACGACACATTTCTCAAAACATATCTCTATTGTTAAGCAACACATGACTGTATCACATTGTTAGCTGGTACATTCTTATTCTTCCTTTTAAGAGAAGATTTTAAAATATAACAATTACTGTATACATGGTAACTACCCCTACTCTCTCAAGGATGGACTCCTGAGAGTTCCAAGCCAGGGTTACTGAGTTGTCCGAAGTTACAGTCAGACCAGGGATTGTTTTCCACCGATTACACAGTCCACATAGTCAGCATAGTGGGAAGTAAGAGTATCAAAGCAAAAGAGAGGCACAGAGAATACATTCTGAGGCCATGGCAAAAGAAACAAGAAATAATAATCTAATAGCTTTTCTCATTATTTTTAAAAACAAACCCAGCATAAAACTGCAAATACATTAAATATTACTTTTTAAAATATAAACAGTTATTATTGAATTATAGCTCTCAATGAGCTCAAAATAATAGTCTTTGTACATACTATATCTGATCTCAGAATATCCATAGTCTTTAATCTCAGCTACACATTATATTTTCCTGTAAAGTACACATGAACCTGAAAGCTACTTTTTACAACAGCAGAATAAAGATACTGGAGGGTCATCTTCTAATCTGAATTTTCCGGAGTTGGGTAGATCTTTGCACTCTGATATAAAAGTACGAAGTTCAGTCTCTGGGAAGCCATCTTGTTGGTAATGCTATACAGAAGAATGTTAAAAGGTCTCATTAATAAGCCCTTTGAAAACAGCTTCATTCCAAATTCAAAATGGATCATTTGGCAATGGAGGGGGTTCTCTAGATAGTATAGTTACTTCTGAGTACCTGCAAAGAGATGTCGCCTCTGGAGTCACTCAGGTTTGGCAGAGGTAAAGTGGGCCTAGGATTCTGCAGCTGCCTACCTAATCTCTCTTTCTGGGTTCAGTGAAACCCAAATGGGCACACTGAGTCTATTCTTCAGGGAGTCTGAGTCGTTCTTCAGGGAGAACTGAGCCAGCCCCATCCCAAGTATGAGAACCTTTGTCACTACTCTGCTCTGCAGCCCTGTGACTTCGAGACCAATGTGACGCAGGCATTTTCGATGGAACCTGATTCAGGCCACAAGAAGCCCAGCGGATCTAAATTAACAAGGTTTTCTAGCAGGCTAAGGGATGGACATCCCTGGCCTTGCCCAGAAGACCTCAGCACAGTCTTGGACGCTCCTGAGCTGGCCCAGGTGTCTGAATAAAGATCTGAATGCTGTAAGGGACCTTTCCAATCTGCACACTCTTTTGGAGTCAGTCTTCCAGGAAGTTTAAGGGCCTCATATTTCTATCAGTTTGGGACCAAAAACTTCTAGGACATGCTGTGACTAGAAAGGATGAGCAGTAACTTAGCTTTCCCATTTGGCAAGTGCTCTGAGCCCATGGCAAGAGGTTAACATCTAAAATACAAGTTACCCTAAGAGCTCTCAGATGTCACCCTCGAATAACACATAGTTCTCTGCATGCAGAGTTGGAGGCAGTGAACTTTTAGAGCACCACTGAGAGGGATCTGAAGTTACAACTATGTTCTCTCACAGTTGTCTTGGTGACCCTAAGGACACATCTGCTGAGCAGATGGGAAAGCAAGGAGGACATTCGGTCCCTGCAATCTTGTTCAGTAAGGATGAACTCATAGCCCTGGCATCATGAGCAAAGTATTCATCATTATCAGCTCCAAACCAAGGCCTTCTGTTTATCCCTGGGACCAACCACATGGTTTCACGTTTTTTTACCCCTCTCATACCCAGAAAATCCCCACATTGAAGTGCCTATGTCACGAATACACCTAATAGTATGAGATTATTAATTTAAACATATATGGCTATTTATTCTGCCTTTCCATATTTCAAGGGGCTCAAATTGATTTTCAAAAGATGTCATATGAATGAGAATAGCTTTTCAGTTCAGGTATCTGACTGTATAAAGCTGCCTGGCTAGTACTGGACCCATTAATCCTTTTGCTATTCTAGAGGCTGGGCCCCTGGGCTTGTGCCCTGCAGGGCCTTGCAAAGAGTAACTGGCTCAGTTACAGCACAGTCCAAACGAAGGGGTCACTTTTTCTTTATAAAAATTGGACTTTTTATGTTCCCACAATATTTTGGCTTTCTGAAATGCCGTGTTTTATTCACCCAATATCTACTAATCCTTATAATTCTTTTTTTTTTTTTTTTTTTTTAGTTTTTTACTTTTTGCCCTTCAGACTTTGAATGACCCTTATAATTCTAATAAAAGGACAGAAAGCTTGTGAGAAAAAGCTTAGCTACCTAGAGACTAAGGCTTTCAGCATTCCGGACATTCTGTTTTCCTCTATTTCTGTTTATCAGTCTCTAAAAATAAGGTCCTTTTTCTCTATCCTGAAGAAATTAACATTCCATCAACATGTCTTCTACCATTAGGTACTGAATTTTACTGCGTCTCTACAAGTTATAGGACAATGCTACTACTTACAGCTCTTGATAAACCTACCTTAATTGTTTCATATGTATCCGTGATCAGTGCAATGAAAAGACTTAAAATCATATATATAAAGAGGCTGATGAATGAGTAGAGGTAAATTCTACTAAATAGCCAGACCAAGTAACTTTTCTGCTGCATTTTTGCAAATGTAGCAAACATATCGTCTCCATTTATCAGAGAGAAAAGGCACTCAGAGACCATGTTCAGAGAACGAAACTGGAAAAAGAAAAAAGTTCACTTTATTCCATGTTCCTTCCCATTGGAGACTTTTGTTCATGACATCATATTAAACATAATGGGTAAAATGCAATAAAAATAAATAAATAAACATAATGGGACTAGATAACCCAAGTTACCATTTTCAAACAAATAATCTAAGGTAACCACACACATTTGCTTTGTGATGCATATATCATGTATAAGCCTACTATTTTTTTCCCTGTGACAAGCAGCTCTCTCTTGGAGTCACCCAAATCAAATGCAGGAGCTGGTCTGCACCCTCAGTGCTTTTCTGAATCAAGCATTGCATCTACCCTTTACCTTAAAGAGACCTTGAAATGCCTGTGCAGAGATACCCAGGTCCCAACCATGCATGCTCATACATCTCATTATAAAGTTTATTTTATTTAAAATAAAGCATAATATTCCATTCCAGACAAAATTTCAAATATTTCTACAAGTTTCCCCCATGCTACTTTTTAAATAAAGTCACATTTCAAGAAGGCTTATCTGAATAGATTGCTCTTGGACATATTGATGATTCAAATTGACTAAACTTGACTTCACTGGTGGTAAATGTGACTTAATTACCCGATACATTACAAGAAGGAACTTGAGACAGTTGAGTAGTACATCACACATTCTCTCAAGTTGGTCACACCTTACCACTTTACAAATATGGCACTAGATATACTACCTTCAACATTTTAAGGCTGAATCACAAAATAAAAGGAGTTCATTGAAAAAGGAAAACAAGCCCCTGGCACTATACTAAAAGCTTAATAGTAATAGGGAAAAAGTTGTTTATCAGTACCTTGTTGTGGTAAGGCCCCAGCACGATCCACCCACAGAAGCAGTAGCCTAAGTAAATCATAGCTGCACAGCAGCAGAACCTGATGACATTGGGCAGTGCTGCCTGAAGGGTCAAAATAAGGAGCTGGGAAAGAAAGAGAGGCCATTAGAATCTCTTTGTCCTTTAGCCAAAGAAGTGTAATAACTCTGAGAGCAATACCAACAGCATGGAGATCCAGGAATTCCTTACATTGTACTTTGCAAAGAAACCGAGGTATCGGATGACTCCAAGCCACACAAGCATGGTAGAGGTCCCAAGAAGTATGCTACAGACATCATAACTAGTTAGACTCTAAGACAGAGTAGAAAAATACAATCAGATTACAAAGCACAAATTCGTTTGGGCAATAAATATTGAGGTAGCTATGAGTCAGGCACTGTTCTAGGTGCTAAGAATAAAGCAGTAAACAAAATTCTTTGCTCTCATGAAGCTTACATTCTAGTAGAGGGAAGAGAGACGATATAAATAAGTCATAGAAACTTTGGGACATTTGCTGATGACAACTGCTGAAGAGAAAATTCAGAGGAGGGGATAAGGAATAGGTATGGGTTTGTCATTTTAAATACAATGATCAGAGAAGGTCTCACTAAAAAGGAGGCATCTGGGCCGGGCACAGTGGCTCACGCCTATAATCCCAGCACTTTGGGAGGCCGAGGCGGGTGGATCACGAGGTCAAGAGATCGAGACCATCCTGGTCAACAAGGTGAAACCCTGTCTCTACTAAAAGTGCAAAAATTAGCTGGGCATGGTGGTGCGCGCCTGTAGTCCCAGCTACTCGGGAGGCTGAGGCAGGAGAATTGCTTGAACCCAGAAGGCGGAGGTTGCAGTGAGCTGAGATCGTGCCATTGCACTCCAGTCTGGGTAACAACAGCGAAACTCCGTCAAAAAAAAAAAAAAAAAAAAAGGAGGCATCTGAGCAAAGATCTGAAAGGAGGGAGGGAGCAAGTCAAACAAAAATTTAGGGGAGGAGTCTACTGGGCACAGGGACTGGTAAGTGCAAAGGCCCTGAGACAGGAGGGTACCTGACAAGATAGTGCATCTAGCTGGAGTGAGCAATAGAAAGGATATACAGTTTATACAGTTATTGAGCTAAGGTGGTACTTACCAACTTTGTCTTTTACTCTAACTCAACTGGGGAAATTTGAGAACCACAAACAGAGGTGATATGATCAGATTTTGGCTGCTGTGGTTGAGAGCAGGTTGTTGGAGTGAGGAGACTATTGCAATAATATAAATGAGAGATGGAAGCTTGGACCAGGCTGGTAATAGTGGAGTTGAGAAGGTGATTTTGGTTTTTTTTTTTTTTTTTTTTGGAGACAGGGCCCTAACTCTTACCACCCAGGGTGGAGTGCAGTGGTGGCTCAATGCAGCCTTGACTTCCTGGGCTCAAGCAATCCTCCCACCTCAGCCTCCCAAGTAGCTTGGGTTACAGACCCATTCCACCATGCTGTCTAATGTCTTTTATATTTTGTAGAGATGGGTCTCACTATGTTGCCCAGACTGGTCTGGAACTCCTGGGCTCAAGCCATCCTCCTGCCTCAGACTCCCAAAGTGCTGGGATTATATGAGCCACGGTGCCTGGCCAGTGAAGGTAAAACAATATTTCCTCTTGGATTAGATGTGGGAAAGAGATGAGTGAAAGAGAGGAGTCTATGATGAATCCATGATTTTTGGCTTGAGTAACTGATGAGAATTGCCATTAACCAAAATTAGAAAGGCTATGAGAGAAGCAGGTTTGGTGTGCAGAAGTGGGGGCTTTAGATGTTCTGTTTTTGGTGTGTTAAATTTGAGAGAAAAAGCAGACATCCAAATGGAGATATAGACTAGACAATGGATATTCGAGTCTGGAGTTCAGGGAAGAATTCTAAGTGGGGAGTTCGAGGCTGCAGTGAGATATAATCGCACCACTGCCCCCCAGCCTGGGCAACAGAGCAAAACCCTGTCTCTTAAAAACAAAAGCTGGGCGGGGGGTGTAGGAGAGGATCAGAAACAAAAATAACAAGATTGAGTACTTTTTTGAAATCTTTTGCTAAATAAATGAGGGTAGTAAGTTAGGGAGAGGATTTAGAGTTGAGATACTATCACTTAAGAAAAAGGACAAAAACATGCCAATGGGAATGACCTGGTAGAGAGGGGGAAACTGATAATTCCGAACAGAAGTAAAACTAGCTGGAGCTGTGCCCTTGAATAAACAAGTGATGAGGTGATGACCTCTGGTAGGCAGGTGGAAGGGTTGGCCCTGAATAGTAGCCTAAACAATACATCCACAGAAAAAAAGCACTGTATATGGGTACTGTTGCCAGGAGGCAGATAAATAAGGTGGGAATGTGGAAATTCTGGTTTTTTTTCTATTAATTTTGTGAAACAGGAAGTAAGGTCATCAGCTTAGAATGAGGATAGGACAAGGGTATTAAGGGTTTCAGAAGAGAGGAAAACACGATATGATCATTTATGAGGCAGCAGTGAATGGCCTAGAAAAATATAGAAAGATACTTGGGACACCATTTAGAGTTCACTGAAATTAATGATAGTTGATGTTGGTAAAAATAAAGATTTGCTGCAAATCTCCCCTTACTCCTCTTTTTTGTTGTTTTGGTTTTTTGTTTGTCCCTAAAGTTAAACATCTATTCCAATGATACATGCCACAGCCACATATAGTGGCAGCTGCTAAGTGTTGACCTAAACCCATTCTCCCCTTCCTAGGCACATGCCTGGGCTGTGTACCCTGGCTCCTTCTGCAGTTAGGATTGACTAAATTCTATCCAGTGGGATATGTACAGAAATAAATTCTACCACTCTTGAGCCAAGCCATCAGTCTATCGGAGAGCTTCTACCATACTGTATTTTTGCTTCCCATAAGCTGCAGCCTGTTTGAAGCAACCCAGCAATACTTATGCAGTCAGGGCAAGTCCTTAAGGGATGGCAGAGAAACAAAACTGGAGGAGCGTGGGTGCCTGAGTGACTATGGGAAGTTGAGGTACTCAGCAATCTAAAAGTCATAGTATTACATAAGAGAGAAATAAGCTCTGCCCAGGTTTATAACCAACTCCCCAGGAGACTCAATCAGTTACATCAAGACTAGGGAAACATAAGTTTGAGCAAGATTAGTTTGAACAATATTAGTTTTTTAAATTTGATTTTTGTTTTCTGGAGAGTTGATTTTTAGGCTAGGTTAGTCTTAAAATGGATAAGCTCATAGCACATCAATGGGAAAGTAAGATGATGGAAGTGTTCTCACTTTGAACGGATGGAGGGCACAAATGCAAGCATGCCATTTGTTTGGCATAGTGCCTTGACCTCACTTTCCCCTACAACCCCACTCATTTTTGTTAAATATTCTAGCAATTCTTATAAGATTTTTTTTAAACTCTTACATTAGTTACCTTGGTTGTGTATGAATTTTGGTGTGTGTAAGAATTCACAGACCCTGCCGAAGAGTTTGAATTCAGTCGGTCTAACATGGTACACTTTTACCAGGCACCCAATGATTCTGATGCAATGGTTTGTGGATCACACTTTGAAAAACTGCCTAAGAGACCTCCTGACTATATTTAAGAAAATTACCATTATTGATTTCAAGTCTACTTGATATACAGTTTAGAAGAAATAATTCTGAAAATTCTCAAATTCTGGAAAAGTAAATTACCATTAATACAAATCTGACACTAACAATAGCATGATTAGGAAAACAGTTACCTTAGCTTGGATTTCCATTTTTAGAATTGATCCAATGATTGTTAATATGTCACTAATAATAATCATAATGTACCATCCATTGACAAATTCCATTTGATCAGAAACAGAAACGTCCTTCTTATAATGGAGGAGGAAAAAATTGACAAACTCCTTTAGGGAAAAGAGAGGAGGCATAGTGAATGTCTCTGTCAATCAAAATGTCAGCAGCATTCCTGGAAAGCAACATCCCCTACCTGCTGAAGCTGAAGTCCGCTAATCACAGATCTAATGCAGAGGATTAATGAAACCAAGCAAGTCAGAATGACAAAGGCATCAAAGATCATCATGTTATGAGTGTTCTTCTGAACTGAAAGCAAAGAGGATTACATAGTGTTTATGTGGTGGGACATTAATATGGTGACATCTTCTTTTTAGAATCATTTAAATAATTCAAGCATTCTTTCTGGCAAGACAACAAAGAAAAGAAGCCCAGATAAATGGTCTTCCAATTAGTATTTAAAGAAGGATGAAAGTCCTTCTTTTTACCACAGCTATCATTCCAATATCTTTAACTTTATAAGCCTATGGTCTTTTGTTCTTAATACAATTAGCTTCCCTGCGTATTCTTTTTTTTTTTTCCTGAGACCAGGTCTCTGTTGCCCAGGCTGGAGGGCAGTGGCACAATCAAGCTAACTGTAGCCTCAGCCTCCCAGGCTCGGCAATCCTCCCACCTCAGCCTTCCTAGTAGCTGAAACTATAGGTATGTGCCACCATACCGAGCTAATTTTACATTTTTTTGTAGAGGCAGGGTTTTACTTTGTTGCCAAGGCTGGTCTCAAATTCCTAGCCTCAAGTGATCCTCTCACCTCAGCCTCCCAAAGTACTGAGATTACAGGCATGAGCCACCATGCCCAGGCCCACCTCCCCGCATATTCTATTAAAATATACTTATCTAGGTATACAACATTTATTATGCATTCACTATGTGCCAGGCATTTTTGTAGATGTTAGGATACAGTGGTAAACAAGATAGATAAAGTCCCTGATCTTTCCAAACTTCTATTCTACTACAAAGAAGTAAACATATAACAAAATACTTTTAGATACGAGTAAATAATCTAAAGAAGATAATCACAATAGATAACATGTATTGAGCACATTTCTTGCCAGGCATAGCTCTAAACACTTCATATATATTAACCTATTTGATCTTCACAGCAACTCCAATGAGGTAAGCATGATTATCCCCACTTTGCAGGTCAGAAATCTGAAGCACAGAGAGGTCACATGATTTCCCCACAGTTACAGGGCTAGTCAGTAGAAGAGTTGGGGTAAAATCTCTGCAGTTTGTTTCCAGTGTCTGTCACTGTATGTCAGTGGTTCTTGGCATTCCTTGGAAGCTTGTGTACATTCTCAGGTCTTACTCCAGACCCACTGAATCAGAAATCACTGAATTGGGTTTCTGCAAGCCTTCCAGGTGATTCTAAAGTCTGAGAACTATTGCTCTATATGAGAGAAGTTAGTGTGGGGCAATATGGAAGAAGAGAGGTTCATTTATATTGCATAGTAAAGGAAGGCCTCAGTGAGGGAGCAGTGGGTTTTAGCTGAAACCTGAGTGAAAAGAAAGAGCCATCTTTATGGAGATTTTGGAGAATCGAAAGTGTGAAGTCCTGGCCAGCATGCTGGAGCCAATGTAGAGAGATGGGCAGAGGTGTCAACCATTGTACACTGGCACAGAGCTTGTCTCTATTTAGTAAGTTAGACTGCTCTCTGCTGACAAAAAGAGAAAGTACTTCAGAGTATTTCTGTCATGAAGCATCCCATTAATATCTGCCAAGGAGCATAATTGCTACATAAATGTCTAAATTGACTTTAGAGAAACTTAAACATTAAGAAACAAAGATTTGAGAGAATGCCTAGGTGCCAGACACTTGCATATGCTCTCATTTTTCTGATTCTGGCGTTTGTGGAGAAACATTATAACGTATACAGATGACGAAAAAGGCTTGTGTTTCAAATGTGATTCAAGAGCCCCATATATTCGAAGTTACCTATTAGTGAAAAAAAATACTATATTGGCAAAATTTCATTTTGTTTACTCTATCTCATTATTACTTTGGAACTTAGCAAATCAATTATTAAGAAACTTTAGAACTGTGATTATCCAAGTATAGTCTGCATAAGGACTATTTACACATTTCTAGGTCCCACCCCAGAACTACTGGCTTATAAAGACCTGGGGAAACTGCATTGGAGCAGGTATCCAGGATGATTCTTCTGCTGATTAGAATCTGAGAACTCCTCATCTAATGACCACTAAGTCCAGTACAATGTGCCATGATGTTACTTACGAGGGACTAGTAAATTAGATAAATTCTTCCTAGGCAATTTTCTCCAGTTCAGCCCCTAAATTCTTGACAGTATTTAGTCTACACCTGAATTCTTGTCTATATTTCTAAGAATAGATCCTTTCTTCTTTTAGTATACTTTCAAATGGACAGAAGACAATCATAATATGTGGGATGCTTTGGGGTCACATCCTACCTGACTTGTCCCTGGCTTCTGAGCCTTAGTTTCTTCATTTGTAAAAATAAGGATTCTGGCCGGGCACGGTGGCTCACTCCTGTAATCCCAACACTTTGGGAGGCTGAGGTGGGTGGATCATGAGGTCAGGAGTTTGAGACCAGCCTGGCCAACACAGTGAAACCCTGTCTCTACTAAAAATACAAAAATTAGCTGGGTGTGGCGGCATACACCTGTAATCCCAGCTACTCAAGAGGCTGAGGCAGGAGAATCGTTTGAACCTGGGAGGCAGAGCTTGCAGTTAGCCATGATCATGCCACTGCACTCCAGCCTGGGCAACAGAGCTAGACTCTGTCTCAAAGAAAATAATAAATAAGGATTCTGCCTATCTTAAGGACATTTAAAAATATTAAAATGAGGAATATTAAGGTGGAAGTAGGTATACAGTACCACTCAATAAGTATTGGTCTGGGAAGATGTATGTAGGGTTTTGGTGGCAGGGGACTATGAGTACATTCTTGCTCAGGAGTGGGCAAGTGAGGGCACAAGGAGAGGAAGCCCATTTCAGTTATTCATGACTTACCTATTGCTTGAAATATCAGAGTTGATCTGTTTGTAGAGATTTAGGGACTTGAAAAAGGTCTCAACTTCTATTTGCTGTTCCAGATATCCAGAGGGAGATACTTTAATAACCATTTACAGTATTTAATAACCATTCTGAAAACTAAAAGGCTCATCACTTACTTGATCCAGATACATGCCAGTCTTTACATTCTCTTATGGAAATGTCATTATCTAAACTTATTTTAATTCTTCCACTATGGGCCTTGTTGTCGAATGTTATCTGTGAAGACAGGAAAGCAGTCAAAAAAATACTTACAGCTTTTTGAAGCCAAGATACCTCTACATATTAATTAGGGAACAATTCTTTCAAGGGAACAGTAGACCCAGATTCTCATCTCCGATCTGTTGCTAACTCTGTTCAGCCATGGGAAGTTTCCTTTATTTCTCTGTGAAATGAGAAGGATGAACTAGATCTTCTATAGAGACCCTGTAGTCTCTAAAGCATTATATTTCTAGGACAGGATTTCCACTCCAAAAAATATATACAACAAGGGTACTTCCTCTTGCTCTCCATTCTAAGTACTTCCACATACTCTCTTCATATGAGCAAGAGCTGGTACAACTGTGCTTTCTCCCAAATTCTGGCAGGACCTCAGCTAGGCGTAGATTTTTAGTGCTGCTACAATTCTTAATACTACAAAGGCTCATGAATTCTGCTTTGAGACATTTCAAGTAGAGCCTTTTAAATTTTAATTCTGGGCCTAGATTTCTTAGTCACATTGGCACCACAACTGTTATAAAGGGTTTGGTGACTGGGAGTCAATAGTCATGCCTTGCTTCAAGAATAACACTTCAGGACACCAGGGGCCAAGCAGGACAAAGCTAGGCTAGAACACCTTCCACAGTACTCCTACTGTCTTCCCCATGCAAGGACAGGGAAGGCAAGGCAAGAAAATCAGTCTGTTTCATTTCTGCCTCTTCTCTCTCTCTCTCAAGTTAAAGAAAAAAAAAGTTCTTTGAAAAGTCTGTTATTTAAATAAATTGTATTGAAGCTTCACCATGTGAGGTAATCAGAAATACTTCAAATATAAGATTCCAAATGACTTTTAAAAGTTCAGTCACTGTATTTCTCCTCATCAGGGATTGTACGTTTCTTTCCTTGACAAGCAACTGAGGGCATAGTCAGTGTCTGTCTATGTCCCTAACATCTGCAAGACCCAGCCTATGTCCTCACGCAAGGAGGGTGCTCAGTGTTATTTGATTGGGTCAGAAATCCTTGCCAAGGAGAATCCATGCTTTTCTTACACAAACGGTCTCAGTTTGTACAAATAATAGGTGCTCACTAGATATCTATTGAGAAAGTAACTGTGGCTTAATGTCAATCACATCTCAGTAAGGCTCAGAAGAAGCTGAATCTTAAAGAAGAAAAATAACGGATGGGATTAGAAAAGATTAGATAGCACAGAAGAAAAATTAGTGAATTTGAAAATATAGCAACAGAAACTATCCAAAATGAACGCACTGAAAAAAACTGAAACATAAAACAAACAAACAGATCATTGAGCTATGGGACAACTCCAAGTAACCAAACACAGATGAATTTGTCTCTGAATCTCTGATAAGGTGGGGGAGAGTGACAAAAATATCTGAAGAAATTATGCTGAATAAATACCAAATGTAATGACAGCTAAAACACCACAGACCCAAGATGCTCAGTGAACCCTAAACACAGGAAACAGGAAGAAAACACCAAAGCATTTCACAATCAAATTGCTTTAAATCAGAGATAAAGAAAAAATTTAAAAGCAAACAGATGGGGGAAAACATCTCCTAGAGAAGAACAAAGATAAAGATGAGAGCAGATATTTCATTATAAATAATGCAAGCTAAAAGAATAACATCTTTAAAATGCTTAAGAAAAAAACAGTCAACCTAGAATTCTATAGCCATGGAAACTACCTTTAACAAAGGAAGGCCTGGAACAAAATAATGGTTACCAGAGGCTAGAAAGAAAGGGTATTGGGGAGGCATGGGGGATAAACTGGGGTTGGTTAATGGGTATAAAGATACAGTGAGATAGAGGAAATAAAATCTAGTGTTTAGTAGCACAATAGGGCAACTATAGTTAATAATTTATTTTTATATTTCAATATAAAAAGTAGATTTAGAATATTCTCAACATAAATGTTTGAGGTGGTGAATGTTGTCCCAATTACCCTTATTTTATCATTACACACTGAATGCTTACATCAAAATCTCACCTGTACCTCACAAATACGAATTTGTAACATTTTTATTTAAAAGATGCTAATAAAACTTTTAAAAGGAAGGTGAAATGCTTTTTTAAACATACAAAAGTTGAAATAATTCATCACCAGCAGACCTGCATTGTAAGAAATGGTAAAGGAGGCCCTTCAGGCAGAAGGAAATAATACCAGATACAAACCAGGAACTACACACAGAATGAGGCACACTGGAAATAGTAACTACATGGGCAAATACAAAGATGTTTTTATTATTATTTCAATCACTATAAAAGATAATTGTTTAAAGAAAATATATATTGTGGGTTTATAACACATGTAGAAATACACTATATAGCAACAATAGCACAAGGGTCAAGATGGGAGAAATGGAAGTACATTGTTGTAAGGTTCTTACACTATATGCAGTGGTATCATTTGAAGGTAAACTGTAATAAGTTAAAGATGTATACTACAAACCCCAAACATGGAAACATCCACGGTGAAGAAACTAAGTAACAAGAACTCTTGGCAGTAACCTTTAGCTGACAGCCACAGACTGCTGAGAGCCAACCACACGGAAACTACAAACACCTGTTCCTCTTGTGTTTGAAAATCTACCCTATACCAGGCACTGTTCTTCATACTGGAAGTAGTAGTGAATAAAACAAGGTCCCTGCTCTCCTAGAACTTACACAGAGGTGCAAAAGACATAATTAATAAGTAAACTTGTTGTTATAGCAAAATAGAGCTAGATGTATCAGTGTTTCCCTTATGCACATTCAAGTGAAAACATCCTGTATTCTTCACGCCATAATCCAAGCATATGAAACATAACTAGATAATTTTTCTCCAGACTGGAACCAAATTCAGCCTGGCCCACACTTACAGTCAGAGTAAAGTCATAACAGTCAGGGAGCTCTTGATGACGAACTGTCTGCAGGTTAATGGCTTTCAGTTTAAACTGAAGCTCCACTGTGAGGAGTCTAGAAAACAGAGGTGATTTTAGTTCTGTAGAACTATATACATACAAATGTATTACTCCCCTATCTGCTCTCCTCACCTGTGGAAGTCCAGTGTTAAGTTCAGTTTATTTTCTGCTGGTGTCCCAATGTGAAAAGGTTCATCTGGCTCTACAAAGAAGCAATCTGCCACAGAAAGGAATGAAAACATGATCTAGTACTTAAAATAAATATAAGACTGCATTTTGAAAGGCTGATACATTTAAGACCAGTTATTCATATTCTAATAGTTTTTGAAATTAAAACTTGAAAAGCTAAACATTGATACCACATGGTTACCATGACTCATTTGTTTTTAAGACCTAAGTGGCTATATTTCTGGAGTGGAGGCTTAGACAAAGATCTGAACTCGATTTCATTGTTATATGAATGTTCTCTTCTTTTTAAAGCCTAAACATTGAGTCCCTTCCCTTTTTTGCATCTTAAGCATAGGATTTGAAGCACTTGAAGTAACTACAATGAGATTTTCTAAGCAGTTTGAAGGATCTATTTTAAAAATATTCTGTGCTAACAATGTTTCTTCAATACGCACCCCCACACACCAAAAAAGGGAGATGGCATTTGAGAAAGTTTTCACTGGTTGGTACTCTTATCAGTATTATCTCTCAAAAAAAAATCTGTTGTTAAAAGTATTTGAATACTTATTTTTTAGTCAATGACTTAAGTTAACATTTTAGGTATAATTGCAAAATAGAATTTGCTAAGAAAAATAAGCCATTCTATTCCATATTCTGATTCTTATTCCTCCCCCTCAATCTGCCCCAAAAGGTACATGATAGTGAAGTGGTACTGGGGCAAGAGAGTTTTATATACACCAAGAGTTTGCAAGCATAATATCTGTCTATTAATACTTCACTGGCATGTCCTGAACAAGAGATGGTGGAATATGGTAGCTAGGAGCACAAACAGCCTGGGCCCAATTTCAGCACTGCTCTTCTAGCTCCATCTTAGGCAGATCACTTAACTCTCTGAGCCATACTTTAGTCTTCTATAAAAGGGGATAATAATAATCCTTGACTTGCTGGGTTTTCTTGAGGATTCTTGAGTTACAGTAAAGGGCTCAGAACACTACCTGACACATAATAACTGCTACATCATTCTTACTATGCCCTAATACCACACACCAAATCAACGTTTTCAAAGACAAAATTACTGATTTTAAATATAAATTGAGGCGTTAAAAATTGAGGTTCTAGGTTACAGAAGAACATCACCAGTTTCAATTTCTGGATCGATGTCAAAGGTATCATTTCCAGGGTAGATGTTTCCTCGCTTGTAGAAATGCTGACAGATTGCCATAGCAGACTGGTCGGTACCCTTGTTCTCGTAAGCATGATTCCCAACTGAGACATTGTATAGCTGCAAGTACTACAACCAAAACAAGAAACAGAAGATGGGAATGCTAGCCAGGGCAGAAGTGACTCCCCTCCCCTAGCCATGGCTCCCCTCCCTCCCCACCTTTGAAACTGGCAGGTTCCCACCTCCCCCTTAGAATAGAGACATTCACCTTGATAAACAGGGTAAGTGACTTGCTGCTGTGCACTAGGAAGGCAAAGGGCACTCATGAATTAGAGTTCTGGGTTCCAGCCTCATTTCTGTGACAACCTCTCTGACCTTCTAGTTCCTTATCCGCAAAATTAGTCTGAAGCCACATAATCTTTGTGTTTCTTTCTTCCCGTAAAGAATTATGTTTAGGAACTGACTGTGACATTCAATGTAACTACACATTTTATTTATCTTTTTTTTTTTTTTTTTTTGAGACGGAGTTTCGCTGTTGTTACCCAGACTGGAGTGCAATGGCATGATCTCGGCTTGCCGCAACCTCCACCTTCTGGGTTCAAGCAATTCTCCTGCCTCAGCCTCCCGAGTAGCTGGGACTACAGGCGCGCACCACCATGCCCAGCTATTTTTGTACTTTTAGTAGAGACAGGGTTTCACATTGTTGACCAGGATGGTCTCGATCTCTTGATCTCGTGATCCACCCGCCTCAGCCTCCCAAAGTGCTGGGATTACAGGCGTGAGCCACTGCATCTGGCCATTTTATTTATCTTTAAACTATCACCTATAAGGTCAGAGTTGTACTTTAACACTGCAGTGTGACAAGTAGGATACAATTATTATAGGTTAGCCAGCAAAACCTTTTTTTAAGAAAGTATTGTTTTAATAAACTTCATCTTTGCAAGATTATAATTTAATCACCTTTATGGCAATATTGCCCATCCTAGTGAATCCTTTACATTAAAACAATTAATTTTACAAGTGAGAATCTTATGGTGTCTTGGAGTAACTGTCAACTTAAATTTTTAATGGATGCCTGCAGACATATTTCCAAAACAAAGTGTTTTAGAGCAATATGTTTGGTACAATTGGTCATTCTATCACTCCTGAAATTAACAACTTTGTGTGATCGACACAGAAAATAATTCTGCTAAAAAATATGTATGAAGCATGACATGACAAATGAAGAAAATAATTTTTAATATGGGATGGATTTTGAGTTGGACCTTGTCAAGGTCACCAATGAGCGTGTTACCAAATCTGATGCCTAGTTCTCAGCCTCCTATAACTTAACATCTCCATGGTATCGATGCAGTTGAATGCTCCTCCTACATGGGATACTTTCTTTACTTGACTTCTGAGACTCCGATGGTTTCTTCATGGTCTCCTTTGCTGAATCCTCCCATTGCTAACCTCTGTATTTTGGAGTATCTTTGGATTCAGGCCATAACCTCTATCCACATTCTCTCTATAGCTGACTTCAACCAGTCCCATGTTTCAAATACCACCTATATGCTGACAGCTTCCAAATTCGCATCTCTAGCTCTGACCTTTCCACTGAATACCACACATGGATGGCAATCTGCCTACATGATGCCTATAGTGTCTAAGAGGAATCTCTAGTAAATGTGCAAACAGAAACACCTGTTCGCCTGCTCCTTCCACAGTAATTCCCTTCTCAATAAACTACTCTGTAAGTCAGTCAATTGTTCAGGCCAAAATTTAGGAAAGATTCTTTTGTCAATTTCTCTTATATTCCACTTGCAGTATATCTGAAAGTCATGCATGACTTTTAAATTATCTCTGCACAAGAATCACTTAAAAATGTGAGCCTTGGCTAGGCGCGGTGGCTCATGCCTGTAATCTCAGCACTTTGGAAAGCCAAGGCAGGTGGATCACGAGGTCAGGAGATCGAGACCATCCTGGCCAACATGGTGAAAACCCATCTCTACAAAAATACAAAAATTAGCCAGGCGTGGTGGCATGTGCCTGTAGTCCCAGCTACTTAGGAGGCTGAGGCAGAAGAATCGCTTGAACCCGCGAGTTGGAGGTTGCAGTGAGCTGAGATTGTGCCACTGTACCCCAGCCTGGGTAACAGAATGAGACTTTGTCTCAAATCAGTCAATCAATCAATCAGAGCCTCCTCACCACAAATCAGACTGTTTCTCATTACCTTCATTGATATGACCCTATTCCAAACCATCATCCTTTCTTTCCTGGACAAATTAAACCTCTGCCTCTCCAATCCTCCCTCTCACCTTCGTCTAGTCTCCATCTAGAACTCGTAAGATTGATATAAGGAATGAGTGAATTCATGCATGTACAGCACTTAGAACAGTGATATCCAAAATACACCTCCTCCAGACTCTTGTTTTTGCTGTTCTTCCTACCTGGAAGTTTCTTCCTTGAGATAGACACAGGCTGCCTGTCCTCTCTTTAGTCTGCTGTCTGCTTACATCTCACCTTGTCAGAGAGACCTTCTCCAACCACCTCCAGCTAGTCACTTCACTGGCTTTATTTTCTATAGTACTTATAACAAACTGACAGATGATGTTCTTATATACTTATTTACTGACTGGCTCTTCCAATGAGAATATAACCTCCTCAACTTTGTCTATTTGTTCACTGCAGGACCCCTGCAAACCCAAAAAAGTGCCTGATACATAATAGATACTATTTAATAAATATTTGAGTGAATACAAGTTAGCTTGTGCTTATGTATATTATTAGAGTCTTTCCCCTACAAAAAGCCCTTCCATGGTTTCGTGTCACTCTCAGAATAAAATTCAAAGCTCCTTTCCATGTCCTGAGGGACCTGGCCCCTAGCTCCTCTGGCCCTAACTGCCTATCATAATTGCCTCCCTCGCATTTTCTCAAACATACCAATCGCTTTCCAGCTTCAGGACCTTTGCTGTTGCCACTCCTTCAGCCTGGACTATTCTTCCCTAGATTTCAAGTCTTCAGAAAGGCCTTTTCTGACCACTCTGAGGCTAGTGTTATTGCCTTACGCTGGTTTATTTGTCTTCATACCACTCATCACTACCCTAAAGCAAAAGATATTTGTTTAAAATCCATCTTCTGCATTAGATTGCAAGTTCCACAGGAAAGGAAATTTATCAATCCACTGCTCTAACACCAGCCTTCAGGCACACAGTAGGTGCTCAAATATTTGTCAAATTAATGGTGAGGTGAAAAATTACTATAATGGAATGGAGCTCTTTGTTACTAGAGCTAATCTGTGCACAGAGAGTTGGTTAACTGTTAGGATAAGAAAGATGATTATGGCACCAAGCTTTCTGTTAGCATTAGGATTAGGAAAGTGAGCCAGAAATCTACGGTAATAGAAGCAATCTCCCTAAGCTATTAAACAACATTATGTTTGGCATACAGGGGTAAAGTAGAATAATGCTGGAGATACTCAGTTCTGAGAGTTTTGTTTTCCATTTAAGGTACCCGGTAGACTAGTGTTCCTAGAACACATGATGTGTAATGAGAGGTAAATAGGGACAGGCAAGCAGGGGTCATGAAGTGCAGTCACAGCTGTGATGGGGCACTACAACCCTCCCAGAGTCCAGGTGTAAGTGTGAGGGAGTCCCCACAGGAATCACCTAGAGGTCTGAATCTCCAGACCACAGAATCTTGTGTTTTAACTTTTTAAGATCTTGAACTGTGAAAGACCAGAGGCCCAGGACTGCAGGTACCTGTTAACATTATAATTATATATGCCATATAGTTATATTATATAATATATACATTAACTGTATACGCTATAGCCAGACTTCCTTGAGCTCTTCATTCAGCTCTTTGTGCAAGTCTGAGCATCTAGCAAGAACTGGGTAATCTAGGGAAGCAGCAGGGCTGTGTCCAGCTAGAGGGCAGCCCTAGAGCCCGAGTCAGAGAATTCTGGGGCAGAAATGTGGTATGAGATGATGGTTGGAACTAACTGTGGAACTAACGATGGTGAGACTGCACAGAACAGCCAAGTGGTGGAGGCCTTGGTGGAGCTTTAACTACACTGGGCATCCATCCCTCCTGGTCTCTCCAGCTCTGCCTTGAGAGAAGGCATTTTCAGTCAGATCCATAGGTCCCAAGTCAGCCTTTGAGTTATAATACAGAAACACATTAAATATCCTTAGCTAAATGCTGTGGCACCAAAAGCAAGAGGCAGTAGGGAAAGGGGGTAGGAAAGAAGGGAGGCCAAACAGAAAGAAGAATTTATAAACTGTTTGAGCTGCAAGAATGAATGATTCCTAGAAGACCCTGAGGCCTTTCAACCTAAGCAACTGACCAGAAAGAAGAAACAGCCTAGGGACGGGTGGGAGGAGAATGAGAAGCCATTGGATTGGCAGTGCTGAGGTGCTTGTGACGTAGGTGTCTGGCAGCGTGGGAACCACTTGGAAGTCCCCTCATCATGATGATAGCTGAGGCTGGGTAGTGGAGGGTGTTTCTGCAGGAAAAGGACCAAGTTTTGAGGACTGCTCAAATTTAAGAGGCACATGAAAGAAAAGGAATCAGTAAAGCTGACCTAAAAATGATTGAAGAAATAAGAGGAAAGCCAAGAGATAGCCTAAAAAGAAAATAAGTAGGTCTCTCACATTCCAATATAGAAGCTTATATAATAAACAAAAAGCAGTGATGCTATAATCACAGTATTGGATCTGAATGAGCCCTGGAGATTATCCAGTAAGATGACATCTTAGGGCTAAACCCTTTGGGATAACTAATAGTCATGGATATGCTTCTAAGAACGGAGATGCCACTGCCCTATTTGTCAGTTCCTCTCAGTAACAATCTCCTCAACTATTAAGTCTCACTTGAGACCAGGAGTTTGAGCAACCTGGGCAACAACACAGGGAGACCCCATCTCTACAAAAATAAATTTTTTAAAATTAGCCAGGCATGGTGGTACATGCCTATGACCCCAGTTGCTTGGGAGGCTAAGGTGGGAGGATCAGTTGTGCCCAGAAGGTTGAGTCTGCAGAGAGCTGTAATTGTGCCACTGCACTCCAGCCTCGGTGACAGAGTAAGACCCTGTCTCTCTCAAAAAAAAAAGAATTTAATGGACCGTTTACCTCTTGCCTTGATCCCACTCCCCCTTCCCAACAAAAACAACAAACTACCAGTTTAGATCAGACTAGCTTTAGAGAAACTTAATATACTTTAAATTCTAAAAACAGAGTATCTCCATCATTATGCTCTTAACAACTACAAATTGTAGGACATAATTCTGTTTAACAGTTTATGCAACTTATTTCTATTACTTTAGATTTCTGGCTCATTTTCCCAATCTCAGTTCTAACAGAAAGACTTCATGCCATACATATGTATTTTATCCTAGCAGCTTACCATCTCACTGTGCAGAGATTGTCTCCAGAAAATGAATAGCCATGATTGCACTATAATAATTTTCTGAAGAATTGTAATAATTTTGAAATGTGTTCTGCAAACTAACCCAGTTTGGGAATACTGACTTCCAAAATACTTTCAATGATACCTACAAATTTAAAATTTTGGGGTCCTGAGAAAGTACTTTTTATGGCAAAAATATATATTAGAAACTCACAATAAAATACAGTATTAATCTATATGTAAAACAAGCTTGTTTTCTGTTTGGCAGTTAGTCAGTGTCACAATAATATCATTGTCATGTATGACATAAAGGCCTTGCTTACTTTCAAGTGAATTTTTAAGTCTTGGTTGCTATACACACTCTGAAAAGTTAATATTCTCATTATTTGTTAAGGGGACCTGAAAGTGTACTTTCAGCTCTGAAGACTTAATGACTACTTACACTCAGGGTCATAGTTAGTAATTTTAAATCTTCCAGATTCCCATGCCAAGCCCTAACTCTGATTCTTTTAATTAAATCTTTAAAGTTTCTGCCTTTCTGTTACTAAACAAAAGCTTTTCTCAACTTCAACTTTTATAAAATTTTGTTAATATTTAAAAAAATTTTTTTAAATAATTTTGTGTGTGTTATTTCCAAGCAGAAATGTTCACCCTTCTCCACCTGAATGTCAGTTTCTATTATGTACATTGCCATCATTTTTTTCAGTTTGTTTTTTCCCAAGTAAATAATGCACACACTTGATTTACCTGGTTCACTGCGAAGATTATCTGATCATATACATCACTTTGTGTGTATACTGCATATGTGTCATCCATTCGGTCTATATATCCTTTTAGGAAAAGGTGTTTGAATGCCACAGTATTCTCCTCCTTGAAAGCTACCACCATCTGGTTACTTAGCCCAAATAAGACCAGCTTAAAAGAAAAAAAGAAAAGGTAAGAGGTTGGAAAATGTGGGCAGAAAATGCAAAGCAGAAGGTACAGGGACTTGAACAGCAAATAGAAGAGTTTAAACTGAATTCTTGGGGACATAAAGAAGGTTTTGCAGCAGGTGGATAATACACTAAGAAAGTCCAAGTCCTGTGACCAAACTATATTCCTGCGTCTGATCACCAAAACCCCTCAACTCATGTCTAAATTAAAGTATATTAACATCATATGTCCTTAATAGTCATGCAGTATTGACCTCAGCGTTTTACATGAAACTCAGTTGTTCACACACAAAAACTGCTGTCATGTTAACCTAAGGCCTTTCGGTTACACCTAAAAGCTTACCATACTCTAAGTCTCTCTTTCATCTTCTCTTCCTTCCCACCCAAACCTCTATCTCTCTATCTCTCTCTCACATACACACACACCCCCCACATGCTGTAAATTGAGAAACTACACTCTTTCTTAAATCCCAGAGTGAGGCAGAGTATATTTATATGGAAGGCGGGAACAATGTTGAACACCTGTATTCCATACACTATTCCAGGAACTTTCTTCGTATTAATCCTGTAGTATATTCCTAATATACCAATTTTAGAGATGAGGCTCAGAGAAGTTATATAATTTTTTCAAGTCACATCATTAGCCAGTGTCAATATAGTCAAAACTGAAACCTATGTCTGACAGACTAAATCTAAGTTCTACCCACCCTGTCATGCTACACAAAGTAATCCAGGGTTTGATCAGAAAAAATAGAGGAGATAAATCTTTTCCCCTCTCCCTTCCACATATGAGATACGGTCTGCACCCCACACATATCATCACCTAATCATCTCTGCACCTAACTCCCATTTCTGAAGAGCCTCTTTAATTGTCCTCAATGAGATGATATCTTGATATTCTGGGGATTTTCTATCTGTTGAAGCTGATGACCAAACAGCCCCAAAGAATTCCCAAAGATATACTTACCAGTCATTCAAATACATGAGTACTTCTCATTTGCCAGCAATGAGCTAGGGACTAAGGATACAATGAGAAGACAATTGGTCCCCCCCCTCAAAGGTTTAGTGGCAGACAGGAATAACAATGCCTGAGAGAAAACTGCCATAATTCAGAGACTAAGCCAGGTATTGGGAAAAGAGAAATTTTTAGTAGGCTATCATTGTAAACATCTTTCTTTTGCTGTTGCAAACACAAAATCTCCAACTTAACAGAAGAACCACCACATTTTCCCTGAGATAATCTGTTACCAATTCATCCTCATTTGCTCAATTATAAAGCTGTCTTTATCTAATATTTGTTTGATTGCTCTGATACAAATTAGGGAAACATCACAATTAAGAACCCCTCAGTGCCTTTTAAAAACTTACCTAAACACCTTTTACTTGCTTATTACTAGCAGCCTTAACATCTTAAACCATTGCCAGTTTTCTTTTGACCACCCTAGTAAACATAGGAAGGTTAGATGAGCTCCCTGAAAATTAAGAAGTAATTAAGAACATAAATCTTAGAGAAAATTAATCTGAGTTTGAATATCAGTTCTACTCTTCTAGTTTCCTGACTATGACAGGGTCCTTTTCCTTACCAAGCCCCTCATTGTTCTCATCTGTGAAATGAGGATACCACTACCTACCTCCAACTTGTTTTAAGAATTGAACATGGGCCAGGCATGGTGGCTCATACCTGTAATCCGAGCACTTTGCGAGGCCAAGGCGGGTGGATCAACTGAGGTCAGGAGTTCAAGACCAGCCTGGCCAACATGGTGAAACCCTGTCTCTAATAAAAATAAAAAATTAGCTGGGTTTGGTGGTGTGTGTCTCTAATCCCAGCTACTTAGGAGGCTGAGGCAGGAGAATCACTTGAACCTGGGAGGTGGAGGTTGCAATGAGCCGAGGATGGTGCCACTGTACTCCAGCTTGGGTGACAGAGAGAAACTCCATCTTAAAAAAAAGAATTGAAGATGATGACATCTATAAAATGTTTAGTCTAGTACATGGCAAACACTCAAGGGGTACCTATTATTAATCTTCATGTTCAACTGATACAGGCTTTTCCTCCTTATAAGAAACAATACACATAAACTTTTCAGTATTGTGACACATTGTATTAGCACTCAGAAGTTAAGAATATCAATTTCAACTTGCCAAATATTTGGTTGAGAATTGAATATTCATTTTCAGGATGATATGACAGATAGAATGCCTGCCTTCAAAGTCTTAATGTTCCTACTGACTAGCCATGCAACTTTTTTTTTTTGAGACAGGGTCTCTCTCCTTCACCGATGCTGGAACTCAATGGTGTGATCACCACACCTGGCTAATTTCTGTATTTTTTGTAGAGACAGGTTTTCACTATGTTGCCCAGGCTGGTCTGGAACTCCTGAGCTCAAGCAATCCACCTGCCTCAGCATTCCAAAGTGCTGGGATTACAAGCATCAACCACCCTACCCGGCCAAGCCATGTGACTTTAAAAGAGCTCTGTAAATATCAGTTTCTTCTTCTGTAAAATAAGCCAGTAGGAATGTTAGAATTACATGAAATAATGTACTGGAACAGGGTAGTCATCAAATTTTTGTCTCCCTGGAAACAACATCTAGCTTTAGAAACAAGCAAGAATTCTACCAACTTCATATGACTGTAGAAATTGCGTTGGTTCTCTAATAATCATTAGCATTTGTTCTCAATAAGCAGTTAAAATTGGTAACATCCTGTTTTTTTAATCTCTTCTTCAATACCAATTGTTTATGTATTTAGGCATTTTTCACCAACTTAAGGAGAGTAAGTAATAATAAAAATAAACCTATCACATCTACTTTTCTCATTAAAATCTGCTTTTATTTTGCCCTTTTGCTTTTAGCAAGATATAATTACTCTCACCAACAGGAAAACATATTTTCATAAGAATAAATCACAGCCAGTATATATCAACAATCACAAAATATGGATCCCCCTCCTCCCCCACAAAAATGTTAAAAGCAGCCAAGGAAATGAGATTCAAAAGCTCCCTTTGAACTAAAAAGAGGTCCTGTGTTTCACTAGCTCCTGACACTCCTCTTCTGTTAGTTAACTCCACATTCTTCCACTGAATGGTTCTCATGATCACAGGGCTGTGAAAATCTAAGAATTTGCCTGTAGCAGGAAGTCTCGAAGTTTCTGAATAGAGAAATTCTCAGGCAACTAACTAGGAAGGAAAAGAAAGTCCTAATGTTGGACAACACTAGTTTCCATGGCTTATTTAGAAACCAGCTGAACCTCTTTATTGGAAGCCAAATAGTTTTCTTTTCCTGAAAACTAATTAGATTATGTAACTAAAATTATAACTTAGCGAAAGATGAGAAGAAAAAAAAGAGAAAAAAGAAGCCAAACTTTTTCACAAATGTTGAGGACAGAAGGGTCTAGGATTGTATGTTTTCTTATTTGTTATCGCTCTACATTATGCATATAGTTAAAAGTTATAAAAAACGACAACAACAACAACCCACTGTCCATAGTTCTCTTTGTTATTAAGAGGCTTTCGCCAAACTCATGATCTGAGATGCTTACCTGGATAGTCACCATTGCAATTTTTAGAATTTGTATGGCAAGTTTCCATGGTTTTCTACCTCGAGCCCAGAACTTCTCACAGGGATTCATAAAAAAAAATTTGAGTTTTCGCCTCATCTGATCTTCTAATAGAAGCTCCTCAGATGGAGATGTATGCTGGTTAAAATTACAGCGATTTTCCTCTTCATGAGAGCTGCAGCTACTTATAACTATCTCAGGATTTGCCATCTCTAGGGAGGAAAAACAACAACCACCAACATTTCCATTTAGTGAATAAAGACACAAGTCCATATTCTTTGCTGTTGCAGGAGGAAGCTCAAACAAAAGTTCTGGTTTCAAATAAGACCCATTGCTTTAAACTGCATTTTAGATGTTTACAGAATCAGCTCTGATGTTAGACATTAATTATGAAGTGAATTTTCACCTAGTTAATAATTACCAAATTCAGGGGCTGCTCCCATTAGTAAAAGATTATATGTACATATATATAGGATGTATATATTTCCTGCCTCAGTATAGTTAGAGCAGGATCAGAGATCTGAGGGCCTGAAGAAGGACTTCAGAGGGTAAGTGGACCCTGAAGTTATAATGCAAACTTTCATATATGTGGCTGTGGATACTTTTTCCTGGAAAGTAACTAAAACTTTCACAGATTATTAAAAAAATGTTTCAAACCACGAGTTAAAGATAGCAGGATGTAGTGTAAAGAACCAAGGCACACTTTGGTTTCAAATTCTGGTTCTATGACTTGACATTTCTGCAATCTCAGAGAAATCATTTAGCCCTTCTGAGCCTCAGTTTCCTCTCTGGCAAAATGGGAATAACAACACCTACCCTTCTATGATTGCAGCCAGAATTCAATACCTATGACTGTAGTGAGCATTAAATGAAAGAGCAAACACAGCCTTTGCATAGAGTCTAGCGCTAAGCAGACTCACCTACCTAACACGCACAGCAGACAGAGCAGATTCCTAGAAAGCCAATGAGGTCCTTAAGGAGCAGCATGAACCTCAGGAAACAATTGTTTTACAAAGGGGAAAGCAGGCACTCAATTTAAGCCTAATTCCCAATCTGTGGCATCACTTGTAACGACTTTTTATTGAAGCCCTTATATTTACAGCATATTTTCAAAGTACTTCATACCTATTTTGGGGAAGGGGTGCCTTTGAAAAGAGTTGGTCTGGTTTCATTGTCTTCAGAACTAGCTTTTTTAAAGTGAGAGAAAGTCACTCCAGAGACTGGGATGGAGCTTGGGTTTTCCCTAAGACTAAGACTGATATTATACTATGGAAATCTGTTTAAAATAAAATACTGTAAACCACCATTGGTGAGTAGGGTCCTTCCATATAGAATAGAAAGGCAGGCTTTATTTGACATTTTAATAATAACCTGTAGTTGGCAATGAAGGAGGAAAATTGTAACCTGCATTCATACAATATCTGACAAGTCACTGTTCAGATAGATATCATGCTGCTTTCCAAGTCTAGAATCCCACTTTTGATTCCAATTCAAACATTCTTAGCAAGCCCAACGACTCTGAACAATAGATATTGGCTATAAAAACAACCATGAGGAAGGTTTCTAAACTCTTGATTAATGAAAAGATTAATAAGGATACTGCTGAATGAATGAAACATAAAACATATTTACTGTATAGCATACACAGTACCTTCAAAATGAAATAATTATAACTCATTAAAGTATGGCTCATATATGTGTGTGTTAAAATGCCTGTCAAAGCATAAATACAGTAATTCTTAAAGTCATAAAGGAAAGAAAAAGTTATTAATACATTAGGATTTTCATTCAACGGGTTTTTTCCTTCGAAAAGGCATATATTTTAAACAGCATTTGAGGAGACTTCATCTATGGGACTTAAAACGCAGATGATTTCACGTTAACCAAAGCTTGCATATGAACTAACACCAACGTAATAATGAAGCCGTTAATAAGTATGTTCAGCTGTGACAGCATAAAAAAAATCAAGCATGTTGGTGAGTTATATATTGACATTAAGCCCTTTCCACTTTGATACAGGGAAAATTAAACTTTAAACACACTAGCCACACACCATGTAACAGTAACCCACAGGAACAAAGAGAAAATAAGCCAACCAGCATTAATCTATTCAGCACATCACAAAGCGCTGTCCTGGAAGCAAGACGTTTCATTCACCAGGACCGGCAGCTGACTTTGTAAACGTTAGCTTTACGCAGTCTGAAAAGCCCTTCCGAGGGTGTACTTTAAAAACTGCAAACGGTCGGGACCCCCAACAGCTGAAGGAGGTTTTCATAGCCACCCTTCACATTCACCCGGAGCGCCGGCGCGGGAGGCAGGAGAGGTGGCCCGACGAAGGGGCCATCCTGAGAGGCTACCGAGGTAGCAGGCATACTCTTAGAAGGAGCCAACGGACACACACAGGTTACCTATTGCTGGCGGGCAGAGGCTTGATTGAAGTGAGCTGTAGAAAATTAGAGAAAGCCCGGAAGTGTGTATACATATAGTAAAGGCCTCCCAGTTGGCGAGAAGGTTACGCAACCTCGTTTTTTTCAGAAGCGCTTTCGCACTTCATCAGACACAAAACTGGTCTCTCCGGTCTTTCTTTCCTTTCTTTTCTTCCGTTTCTTTCCTTCTTTCTCTCTTTTTTTTTAAGCGTCGAGACTTTTGTCGGGTAGTCCGCGCGATAAAGAGCCGGAGGGTTGCAGCGATGTCCGAAAGCGGTCGCTGCCATCCCCGGGCACTGTCCTTGAGCTCAGACGGCCGCAGCCCAGCTGGCGGCTGCTTTCAGCCAGCGCAGGGACCCGGGCCTGAGCCCCCACTTCCAGCCGCCCCCACCTCTAACAGGGGGACAGTCCGCCTTGAGAGGGGCCGCCCGAGCCGCGTTAGGACCATCTCGAGACCCGGCCAGCCTCCAAGCCTTCCAGCGCAGGAGCTCGGGGTCGGGGTGACTTCCAGCCCTCAGAGCCAGGACCGCAGGCTTCCAGGTGTGTAGCGGACCGTAGGGTGACCAAGGAGCAGAGCCCCGCAACCCGCCCAGCCCCGCGCGGGCCCCGCAGGGGTGCGCCTTCACTGACCTAATGCGCGCGGCGCTGGGGCGGCGCGGAAGAGCTGAATCTCAGCTCCAGCCCGCTCGCCCTCCATGGCGCCGACGGCCCGGCCCGAGCCTCCCGCCGCGTCCCCGACAGCTCGCTGCCTCCCGGCCTCCCGGGCCCTCTCTGCGCGCTGCCGGCGTCGTTCCCGCGACATCCGACGCCCCGGGGCGGCGCCCGGCGGGCTCACCTGGGGGACAGCGGGGAGTGGCCGCAGCTCCGGTGTCCGCGGCGAGGGCGCAGGGCGAGTTAGCGCGCCGCTCCAGCAACCTCGAGCCCCGCTCCGCCCAGGATTAGGCGCGAGGACTAGCGACGCTACTGCTGCCCGCGCATCCTCCACCCCTGCCGCTTTAACTCGTGACCCTCCTCCTGGCTCTGGTTCCCGCCGCGCCCTATCGGGGGCCGCCTTTCAGGAGCACAGGTGGGGCGCAGGAGCCCGTCGGAAGGAAGCCGGCTTTGAGCCCGTTCTCTGCCATCCTCACCCCAACAAACTCCTCCTTTTCTCCGTGAGCAACCCGCACCGCCCTGCTGGGGCTTGCCGGCTTTGCTCAGGAGCTGCAGCTGGCGCGCGGGGACCCCCCCCCCCCCTCAGTTGGTTGCCCGGCTCCGCCGGTCCGGATGTCCAGCGCCTAGCGCCGGCGAATATGAAGCCCGGCTGCAGCCTCCCATTCTGATTTTTGCAAACAAGGTGAAATCTTTAATGTCTTAGCGTTTCAAGCCTGAACCTTGTTCCCTCCCTGGGTCTTCTAGTTTCAAACAAATGCTGTGAAATGAGTGGATAGTCCACTAGATTCTTCTGTAGATTGGGGACTGGGTTAGAAAGAGCCTTGGGAAGCTTTTCCAAGAAATGTAAATAGAAATGCCTGAAGTAGAGTTTGAACCATAATCTTTTTCTTCATAAATTCTCTTTAAATATTAAACCTTAATACCCCTTATCAGGAATGGATCAGGAACTTTGGTTAATTTTAATTATAATTACTTTGGATTTGTTCTGGTTTTTAATTTTCGCTTACTTATTTTTATTTATTTATTTATTTATTTGGCCACGGGTAAGTTGGTAAAAGTCACTGAATTTCCCTACTAGGGTATTCCTGAAATGAGGTCAATACCTGTCAAACCTTTTATAAAACCTGTCTTCAAATCGCATGGATTACTTATACATGGAAATATATTTTTTTCAACAGGATACAATAATTTTATTCTGTTCATTAACCCGGATCCCACATACTGTGAGCAAGGTAGATACCCAAAAAGGATGTAATCGGCACAGTCAATTCTCAAGTGCAATTTGGAAAATATAAAGTAATCTTTAATCCCGGTAATCCTACACACAATGTAATACTATCTCTTTACTTGATGGTAAGAGTTTGAAATGCCTGATTGTTCAGGAACAATCTGAACTTTGGAGAAGTTCACAGTCATAAATGATAGCCCTTGCTTAACCCTTGTTTTAGCTAAGTTATGAAGACCGGTCAATAGAAAAAGCCAGGTTTTGGAAGTCAGATAAGGGCCCAAATTCCCTTCTGTGCCACTTATTGGATAACTAGGGAGTTACTTACAGGGGGACAGTCCACCTTGAGAGGGACGGCCCACGTTACTTAACTCTAGGGAGTTAACTTACCTTCTCTTAACCCCTTTACATTTATGTACAAACTAGCTAATAAAAGGAATGGTGATTTTTAATTAATATGTTGCATGTAGAGCACTCATTACTATAACAGGCATATGTGATGTGCTTATACATGCTGATTCCCCCTTTTTATTGAAAGACCTAAATTAATGAAAACATCAACTATGTTCATAAATTACAAGACTTGATATTGTTAAGATGTCGGTTTTCACCAAGTTCATTTACAGATTCAACCCATGAAAGTTTCAACAAAATGTCTGAAGAAATTTCAGCCAGATTCTAAAATTCCTATGGAAGCAAAGGTAAAGAATCCAGAATAACCAAAGCCATTTTTTTTAAAGAAAGATAAAACTGGAGGATTTATCCTACCTATAGCTATAAAGCTATATAAGCCAGACAACTTGGTACTGATGAAGACAGACATATAGACAATGCAATAAAATAGAATCCAGAAATAGAATCACACATATATGGTCAATTGACTTCTGACAAGATGTTAAAACAATGTAAAGGAGAATATTAAATTTTAACAATCAACATAATGATGTTACTGGCTTAAAGGAATACACTGACACCAAGTCAAGAGAAACACAGGAAACGCTGACATCAAAGGTTTACATAAACATTTCTGGAAAGCAGGAGAGGAGTGCATAAAAGAAAAGCAGTTGAAATCTAATCAGACAATCTTGCTTTTATCTTTTACAATGTTATAAGTGTGTGTTTCTTGACTTGTCGGTAAGTCATTCTTGCAAATAAACATTAATATATTTATATGAATATATTGTGCTAATCTTTAACAGTATTGCAAGAAATAAGTGTTGGAAGCAAAAAAAGTCCCTACATTGGTAATTTCAACATGATTCTTTTTCTTTTTTCTTTTATTTTAAGACAGCATCTAGCTCTGTTGGGCAGGCTGGAGTGCAGTGGTACGATCTCAGCTCACTGCAACCTCCACCTCCTGGGTTCAAGTGATTCTCCTGCCTCAGCCTCCTGAGTAGCTGGGATTACAGGTGCATGCCACCAAGCCCAATTAATTTTTGTATTTTTAATAGAGACACTTGGCCTCCCAAAGTGCTGGGATTATAGGCATGAGCCACTGTACCCAGCCTCAACATATGATTCTATGTAGTGCTTTTAATGTTGCTAGAATATCCAAATGGTATATTACTATTATAACACATTTTGGTAGACAACCAACTACCTATACAACACCTCTCATGAGATTATAACAGAGTTGAAAAACTCCTATCACCTAATGATGTAATAATGTCACCATGATGACATTGTAGAGCAATGTGTTATCTACTTATCTACCTTTTGGAGACGCTGGTGTAAATAAATCTACTGTACTGCTAGTCTATAAGAGTGTTGCATGTACAGTTATGTGCAGTACATAATATTTGACAATGATAATAACCAACCATGTGACTGGCTTACGTATTTACTATTATCATTATTTTAGAGTATACTTCTACTTGAAAGAAAAAAAAGCTAGCTGTCAAATAGCCTTAAAAGAAGTATTACAGAAGACAGTGTTATCATAGGAAATGACAGTTCCATACCTGCTATTGCCCTGGACATCTTCTAGTGAAATTAGATGTAGAGGTGCAAGACAGTAATATTGTTAATCCTGACCCTGGGTAAGCCTAGGCTAATATGTGTGTTTGTGTCTTAGTTTTTAACAAAAAAAAAAAAGTTAAAAAAAATTTAAAAATAGCAAAAAGCTTGTAGAATAAGGATATAAATAAAATATTTTTGTATAGCTGTGCAATGTGTTTGTGTTTTAAGCTGTGTTACTACAAAAGAAAGTTTTAAAAATTTAAAAGTTTATACCATTTCCATTGTGCAATGAAAAATAAATAATAAATAATTTAAAATTTTCTTTTTGGGATGGAGTTTCGCTCGTTACCCAGGCTGGAGTGCAATGGCGCCACAACTTCCGCCTCATGGGTTCAGGCAATTCCCCTGCCTCAGCCTCCTGAGTAGCTGGGATTACAGGCGCGCACTACCATGCCCAGCTAATTTTTGTATTTTTAGTAGAGACGGGGTTTCACCATGTTGACCAGGATGGTCTCGATCTCTTGACCTGATTTCTTTCCCTCCCCTCTCTCCCTCCCTCCCTCCCTCCCTCCCTACAAAAAAAAAATGTGTGATTTAACACCCATGCTACCTGACACTTTCAGCTGAGCTATGTTACTCTAAAACAGATAGGAATTTTGAATATGAAGATAAGGATGTGGAAAAAAGCTCCCTTTCATCCAGCAGATACCAAGAATGTCATAGAGATCTACTGGCTTCAGATTCAGGAAAAAAAATTGGAATTCTTGAAATCATGTTATTTTGTAGTTTTCACAACTCTTTACATGTTTTAAAAACATAATGAATAACCATAATAATAAACTGAATGCTGAAAGTTTCAGAGGTTTATTTGGTGATAATAAAAGCATGATTTATTATTATCAACCAATATTCTGAAGTAGACTTTTATGTATTTATTTATTTATTTTTGAGACAGGGTCTTGGTCTGTTGCCCAGGCTAGAGTTCAGTGGCACAATCATGGCTCACTGCAGCCTCTACCTCCTAGGCGCAGTGATTCTCTAACCCCAGCCTCCAGAGTAGCTAGGCCTACAGGCACATGCCATCATCCCTGACTAACTTTCAAAAATGTTGTAGAGATGGAGTCTCCCAA